CCCAAAATCCTATTACGAGATCACATGTAAGGCAAACAGTGAAAGAGCAGAATTTGAAGCGGGAAAGTGAGAAAAGGAACGGAGAAGAACCATTTCGCGCCGAAGACTCCACGGTTGAAGAGTTGGTTTAACAGCGACATCGGGATCGGATCGGAGCGGAGGAAGCCACCGGTTGCTGAAGTCTTTAATCGGTGATCGGTCGCCGATTTAGGAAAAGGAAAATGTACACAGTGAGGTGATTCTCTGGTTCGCGGAACACGGATATCTCGGTACGTAGTATAACGCTACCCCAATAATAAGGGCGCGTTAGTATTAAATATTAATACTTTAATAGTAAGATAGCAGTTAATTTTTAATTTCATTCCTTATATAAAAACTCTAGGAAACAAAAAAAGAAAAATGCTTTTTTTTTTTAATGAGAAATACCTCTATATAGACATAACTTTTGTTTTTAAAATGATCAGTTGTTTTTTTTCTATTCAAATCTCAATTGAAATTTAATTACATCCAATAGTAAATTTTGAAAATATAAACATTGACTATAGGTGCAATTAAATTTCAATTGACATTTGACTGGAAAACAAAAATATACTATTTGTTGCTAAATTCTCTCCATATTGTATGCATATAGGCACCTGCCTATATATATTGTTTCTTCTTATTTGTATGTGCTATAAATTTTTTTAAATTTATAATAGATCTTATTATAATTTAGTTGATTAGGTATTATGTAATCTGTGATTTTTTTTATTAAAATTCAGTTCTGAACACTTAAAAAAACCTGAATATTCGATGCTGACTGGATGCCGGATAATTTGTCCACTCCAAAAAAACAAAAAGACAGAAAAAAATACAAAAAGTTTAGTCATATAACAATTAATATGTTTTCACTTGAACTGAACAGCTAAAATATGTTTCCACTTGGTAAGTGATTAAGACATCTTCCATAACTCTACGCAGCAAACCAAAATTTTACAAAAAATAGCTCATGATATTTACAGATTTAGATTTCATGGCAACTAGTGATCTTTTCACACTTAATTCAAAGCACAAAGCATGATCTCAATATTCCTATAGATATAATATAATGACCAAGCACGGACTCCTAAAAGTTTGAAATTATGGATAATAAGTGTGTGAAAATCTATCTCTAGTTAGCTTGTAATTAGCTGAAGTAGTCATTAAATTTTAAGAGAAACGATGAATGAAATCTTTGATTTATCAAATTGAGAAAGTTTTGATTTTTAATTAAGACATTTGTGTATTTATGGAATAGTTCGATAACCGTTAACTAGTTTAAACAGATGCTAGAGTCTCCAAGAAAATATATTTCGCATTGAGCCATTGTTTTTAAGAGAGACGATGAATAAAATCTAAACTAAGGTTTTGATTATGAGATAGAAAAAGTTTTGCTTTTTAATTAAGAGCTCCTTCGTATTTATGGAATAGTTTGATAACGTTAACTAGTTTAAATAATTACTTTTATACCCTCTAGTTACTAATACACTTGACCCAAATTTGTACTTTTAGTTAATTACTAGGTGAGTACATTTTGATAATAAGAATTTGTGATTTTATTTGAATTTATGTGGTACTTTAGCTAACTGATATTGAACCACAACCTAGAAGAAGTTGGTAATGCCTAAGAAATTAATATAAGCAAATGAATTTTAAAAATGTTTTATACCTGTTTCACTTATCATTTATTAATACTCCCTCTCTTCTTGAATGTATGATGTTATAGGATTTTTTACATAAATTAAGAAACATTTATTGTTCGACAATTAATATTTTACTTTCTTAATCAAATCACTTTAATTTATTAATAAATATTAACCAATAGAATTTTAGAATCCAATTACTTTTCAATAATGGTTCTTGAAGTTTGTAAAAAGTACCTTAAAAATTCTGTAACATACTAACATCTTATATTGTGGAACAAAAAAAATTCCTAAAACATTTTATATTCTGAAACAGAGAGAGTAGTATATAAGTATGTACTAAGACTATGAAGTTTCTATTTGATGAGTTATTTTGACCATTAATCAATTAAAAAGTTTAATTTGAAACATTTTTGTAACATTCACCATAAAATTCGAGATTTGGATAGACAAAACCTTGTTAGAAGATTATAATTAAACATGCACTCAATTCTTCATGTGTGCCCTTTTTTTTTCAACTTGTGTGCAATTTACCGTGTGTTTGATGTAATTATAGTCAATTCGTCCATCAAGACTCTCAAATTATTATGAGACCATATATATATACAACTGGTCAATCATCGTTCTGAACTCAAGTAATATGAATAGACACAATATGAGGTGAATCTAAGAAACTTGGAAATTAGAATCACCAAAGTAACAAGAGTGTAGATCAAACATCCTACCTCTTAATTATTTGATAAACCAGGTACAAGAAGTATCTATGATTTGCTATAAAGTCCCTTCTCTATCCTATAGCCAAAAGGGTTCCGTCTAACAAATGGTCCAAGACACCTAATCTGTTTCCAGCCCCTCATCTATAGTATCAATCAAGACCGTCCCCATGACTTTATGTTTGGCATGAATCAATTCTCAGCCTCCCACATAAAGAAATATGCAGATTCCCGCGTTGTTTTCTTCCAGCTTTTGTGTATTTGATATCTTCTTTATATTAGAGCTAAAGACCCTCCAAATGAAACCAAAGATCTTGCTGCTTAGCTTCAATGAATCCCCATCTTGTCCACCATATTTTATTGTCTCATAACTGAGCGCGGTTTGGAAGCAAGCCGAGTTCATTTCCACTTTCTTCATCAACATTAATCCAACGTAACAGGGCAGAGAAGATTAAAAAAAACAAAAGCAAGAGCAAATTCATCTATTGTAGTTCCATGCAATTGCAAAAGACTGTCTTGAAAAACTCTAGAATGACTGCAAATTCCAATGTAAACTACGTAATGATCATGACCATTGTCGTCTTCTAATCACGTAAACTGAGATATCAAATTCAATCTCGCCAACAGAGGAATATATATGAAATGAAAACAATGAAAGGAAGGACATAGAACCTGAGAGCCTTCTTCCGTTTTACAATCCACTCGAAGAGTTCCCATATTGACAAACCACGTACATATTGTTTTAGAGTTTCATCACATCTCAAGCTCCCACAACATTCACCAAAATCAGCATCAGAAATCAACAATCGAACCAGAACTCTTTAAACAACAATCTTATTTATTGAAATGATATATAAAATCCCTAGCAAATCAACCAAATTCAAATCACCAAAAAGAGGACCATTCTTGCGAAATACATAAACATCAATCAAGATAAAAAAGAATTTAGAGAGCCAACTTGTGGTTGAGAGGGCGGCCAAAGTTGGGGGATCTCTGTTTTTTAGACAAATGGAATATGCTACCAAACAAACAAACCCTTGTAGGGATCATTCCAAACAAATGGAATATGCTATCAGTTCCAATCATTGCAGGATCATCAATTGCTCCTGACCAGGCCAAAAGCACTAAGGTAAATCCTCCTCAAATACTTGTTTCTCAAGCTAATTATACGAACGTCGGAGATTCACTAATCTCAGCAGCTAAACCAGTCCTAGAGGAGACTTCTATTGATATAGCACCTCCAACCGTGCAGACGTCTAACATCATCTTGGATTATAGTGAATCTCCTCCTTTGGAGACCACTCAACTCGCTTTAAACTCTGATTCTCCTAATACTATTGTTACTGTCCAATTGGAGAGTAAGCAGCCTGAGCTTTATCTTGGTGACAATAAGTTTGCCTCTTTGGTCTCTTCTGACGTGATGGATCTTATGACGCCTCCGGGAAAGAGAATCCTTCGAGATAGACCTGTTAAACCTTCGATAAAAGCTAGTATTTGGCAAGTCAAAGGAGGTGGACGAGGAAACAGAGGCCGTGGAAGAGGAGGGAGTGGCTAGCTCACACCATTTTCTTAGGCTATAATCTCAATCGAAGCGGAAGATTCGATTGTATTTGATGCTTCAATGTATCCTTATTTTTTTCTATCTTTGTAATGGCTTTTAAAAACTGTATGACAACTTTGTCATAGCTTGTTGTATCAGGTGATCAATAATAAAGTGGTTTGCTAAAAAACAAAAAAACAAAAAAAAACCAAACCCTTGTAGTTGTAGAGATTCTTCCCAAGCCTTTTACTTTTCTGCTAATTTCTGAAAAATTGAACAATCTCTAAATCATTTTCTGATTAGTCAGAATGGTTCAGTCATATATTTTGTTAAGAAAATTAATTATGCAATCCATTGAAGATCTCATGTCGTCCTAGAAATTGAATACCCCAAAGCTTAACTCTTCGTAATAAAAAAAAGCCAGAAAACCAAACATTTAAATGGAGATAAACCGAGTTTGAAAGAATGGTTTTGCAAAACCAACTTTTTGTAAGCTAAAGCTGTAGAGCTCTAGATAAGCAACTCATGCCGTCAAAAGGTACGGTGCATTGGCATACATGCTTAAAGATTCTTTAAAGCATTCTTACAAGGACCTGAATTTTTAATACAATTAAACAAATATATATATATATATATATATGAAATTCCGACCGTGTATAACAGTATAAACCTTGGCGTCGATATCTCTCTTTGGAGTCGAAATGAGTCATTCGACTTAAATCAGATCAAAGAAGAAAAAAACTGGATTTTTTCAATTGTACAAAACGTTAAAGTATATACATTGTATATATATAAACATCACAAAACTACCAATCATCCACAAACGTGTGGCATGAGGCTGACGCATTAAACTTGTGCTCTTATCTTTCCGCCTCCGCACTTCCTAGAAAGCCTCTGCCGTCACCTATACGTGTTATGGATTATACACCACATGGATATATCCTCTAGCTATCTGCCACGTCATGTCTTTCTTTCTCTTTAAATACCCGCGTGACCCCTAAACCCAAAATCTCTTCTCTTCTTCAACTCTTTAACTTAGCAAACAAGAAACACAATTTTCTACCAGAAAAAAACCCTATATTGGCGATGGAGGTTCCGGTTATTAACAGAATAAGCGATTTTGACGTCGGTATAAACGACCCCGCATTATCATCTCGAGCTTTTGTTGTCTCCGGCGTCGGAAAGTTACATCACGCTTATAGTTTCTGGAAATGGGGCGGTTTATTGCTAATTGCATTTCTTGCTTCATTCACCGCTTTGAGTACTAGGGTCAAGAGCTTAGTCCCTAGATTAAGAAATCATGTAGACGTATCTCTACCTTCTTCAGCTCTTATCTACGATTACGATAGCGACTCCGATTCTTCTTGCTCGTCAGACTCCTCGGACGATGGGGAAGACGAAGATTACGACGATGACAAAGAACATGACTTGGACACTTACGATTTACGCGTTAGAGGTAATGATGATGAGAAGGTTATAAATGGAAATGTCCCCTGGATGCGGCGGTGCAGTGGTAGCTTCGGAGATTTAATATCTTGGCGGATCTTGGTGGCCTCGGCTCAAGCGGAGTCGTGAAGCTATGGGACCATCTTGATGTCAAGAAAGAAGGAACGGTGGCTTCTTTCTTGAGCAACTGCGTCGCTGCTTCGTCGTTGTCGCCGGCGGTTTTATTAGCGGCGGAGAAGAAAGGATCCGACGCCGTCGTGGAAGTGAGTGCGTGGGATGCACGTGCCGGATTCGGGATGCCGGCGTTGCTCGCGGAATGGAGGCAGCCGGGGCGGTTACTCAGAAAGATCGTTAGAGTCAACGCTGGTGACGTGGACAAGATCTACGTCGGTGATTATGTCAGCGGGGAGATCATGGTGGGAGATTTGAGGATGGTTAACGATGCGCTGACGGAATTGACGGTTTCAGACGTCGTTAGTACGGTGAGCTGTAGACGGCGTCGTTGAAGCTGACGGTTTCCGTTAAGGAGATGTATTTGGCGTGGACTCTGGTCTAATAAAGACGAAAGATTCAACGCAATTGTAAATGATCAACAATATTGTTTTTGTAAATATTTTGTCTGTTTTGTATTTTTAATTTTCAATCATTTTGAAAAAAAAAAGGACGTTCAAAAGTTATATTTTATTGTCTTATTGGATACCGTGGAAATATAAATTAAAAATCATACATTAAAAAAAGGAAAGAAGCCTCCTCCCCAACATTTTTTTTTCTTCTTCTAAAAATACCAAAACAAAAGATCTAGAAAAACGTTTAAGAAGATTTGGAGAGCCTTTCGAATTTGGTTGAAGAACCCCCCATAACTTCACTATCCAATTTTACTTCAGCACCATAGTTCACATCTGTTTTTTTTTTCATGGCTTTGTTCTTCATTTTGTTTATTATGCCCAGTTTCCTACGTTGATGAATTTGCTGCTTTTTTTTGTCTAATATTCCAGATCTAACCAAAATGTATTACCCATTTACCCCAAATTTGTACACTATCCCTCTATTTATTAATAGTATTATTAAATAAAGTGATGAAACCAAAAGTACATCAAAATAAATTCCAATCAGTTAAATTTATCCATTTCATTTTGTTTGTTTGTATTTCTTGGGATTGCCAGGGATGATTTCACCGGAATCATACCGATAACGGATTCTTCATTCAATCTCCAGCGGTGACCTAGCCCCGTGGTGAATGAAATCACAATTCTCCTCCTTCACACAGCTACCTGCATCACCAGTAAAAAAATTACAGGGCTGATTTGTTTTGGCTCTAGACCATGGGAATTCTTGCACAGATTGGGTCTAATTTTTCATGTTTGGAAATTAAGGTTTCAAAGAAAAAGGAGAGAAATGATGACGAGTGAAAGATTATGCGGAGAGAGACATAGGATTTTTCGTTTTTTGTAGATAGATAAAGTTTTCCTTTTTAATTTCTTAATGACCTTCTCTGTATTTATGGTTTGACTAGTTTAATCAAGAAGTAATTACCTCTATACTCTTAATTCTTCTCCATCCATTGCTTTTTTAAAAGGCGTATTTAAAAACTAAGTAATAATATAATATTGTATGAGGTTCTTTAAATTATGAAACCAACTCCAAAATTTCTTAAATAATATACTTATTTCTCCATTTTCCCAGAATCCCATAATTATTGATTAATATTTCTTCCACTTTAATAGTATATTTTATTATTGTCTTCAAATATTATCTTTTCACTCATTTTTTTCCTAACAACACGGTTGTTCACAGTTCTTCAAAAATAATAATGACATAAAGAAAAAAAACTTAAGCAATACTCTTTGAGATTCCTAAACTCTCATTATATTAGCTGCCTCTTTTTTTAATAACAAATATCATCAGCCTATTGAAATTCAAGCAACATAACATATTACTTCAATTATTTGTTGAAAAAAAAAACATAACATTTCAATTTGAAAGAACATGCGTAATTGCTGATTATTTGTATTCACCACTGTTGTCCTTCAGCCGCAACAGCTTGTGTCTCTACTTTCTTTTTCTTCCTAATATTTGCAACTACATATTTATACATTACGGGTGATCGGCGCTTCTTACTTCTTCACGCAAGGTTCAACAATTATACTGATTTAAATAGAAACCAAAACGGATTTAAAGCATGATTAATCGTCTTCTTACATCTTAATATGGAACTCACGAGAGAGTTGGGCAACTTGAGTTTCTTGAAAAGTTGGAAGGATCTTCTCAATTCAACATCCCATAATTGACTTCCGACCAATCAGAAAACCAAAGCCATCTTTGGGCTGGCATGGGCCGCACACTAAAATAATTAATAGGACAGTAAATTGAAGAAAATGTTTTAAAAACAAAATCGGATTTGAGGGAGATTTGAACAAGCTCGCTCACACATAACCAACTCAGCTACATGATAATTTTGTCAAAAATACGACTGATATTTTACTAATTCTCAAATGGGTCGCAAACGCTTACTTACTTTGCTTGGCCTCAAGGCCGACCCAATTGTAAAATATATTGGGGAAGCTGGTGTACCCCCGACGGACACACACCATGGGCCCCGTTGCCCTGGGGTAAAATTTTGAAAGAACTCCGCACAACGTTGGACCGGGCCAGGGCGAGTCGCGTCCTTCAATGTTAAAATGAGGGGGAGAAATGGTTTCCAACACATTAACGACCAAAAAAAAACCATCAGTGCCCTTAAAATCATGCCCAAACCGGAGGTCCCATACTCCATTCCTCTGTGCTTTCCAAGAGATACTAGTTGTGACCTATCCCCTTTGTTAGTTTTGTATTCCAGTCTCAATAACATGGAGGGGCAAACAAAATCGGATTTGAGGGAGATTTGAACAAGCTCGCTCACACATAACCAACTCAGCTACATGATAATTTTGTCAAAAATACGACTGATATTTTACTAATTCTCAAATGGGTCGCAAACGCTTACTTACTTTGCTTGGCCTCAAGGCCGACTCGGCATAAAACCCACAAGTGTGTGCACCATCGTCACATTACTATTAGATTTAAAAGCCATTTTCTTTCTATCACTTTTTTTCTTTATCTAATGGTATGCAAATCAGTTCGAAAATTAGGTATATATGGTACCCGATGAATATTGCTGAATACGGAATCTAGCTGAATTAAATGAATATTTGTTGCGAAATTTGGCTGATTATAATAATATGAATGATAACACATGAATGCTAATACAAAATAAATATCTAATAAATTATTTATTAACACAATAAAAAATTATATACCCAGTTAAATTAAATAAAAAAGTAAAACATATAACTGTGAAATAATTCAATAAAATTTGGAAAATTTCAAAAATACACATTTTGGGTTGTCTATTTTCAAAACTACACCTCTAAATTGTTAATTTCCAAAAAAAATCAAAAATATGTGAAGAAAATAAATTATTTTTAAAAACATATATATATATATATATATAATAATTTAGATTCATAATGATTTATTAATCAAAGAAAAATATACATTTTAGAATTAGAATATTTTTCTATGATCAATTCATTAATAAAATTTATAATCATGTAAAAGAAAAAGAAAGAAAACTGTGACTTTTATCTTCTTGTGAACATTCCACAATTCCACAATTATGTAACTGGTAACAGAATAATTTTTTTCAGTAGAATTCTTCAACATTCCATACATCTGTTGTTACCAATTAGGGCCTAGTTGTTTTTCACTACAAAATATACGGCAGTTAACGTCATTTATATTTGGACTTAACGTCGGTTTTTCACCAACTCAAAAAACTTAGAGTCACTTATCAAACCGTCGTAATATCCTCTGACGCAAAATTATTTTACATCGTTTGCACAACCGACGTTTACTTTGGCGTCAATAAATTAACGTCACTTACATTAGCTTTTAATGTCATTTAATCAAACGACGCTATATGAAATATTTTTTATATTATTTTTAATTCACTAGTACACTGAAAACAAGACATATTGGCCTAATAACATCTTAACTAATCAAATATTATATGGTTTTACACAAACAACAATCGTAAAAACTTGATACCCGCAATTTGGTAATCCTGCTTTGCTGGGCTTCATAAGCCCAGTCCAACTCCCCCACTAATATGATATTGTCCGCTTTGAGCTCAAGTGGCAAAGTCCGCACGGATTTCTCTTTGGTCTCCTCCCAAAAGGTCTCATACTAGTTGGAGTTGGACACTGCTTATATCATAAACACTTATTGACTATACTTCCGATGTGGGACTTGATTGATATCTCAACAACTGGTATCAGAGCCTTGGTGATTCCCTTAAGTTCGAGATTCCACGATTCGATGGGAAGGGAAATTTCGGTCTTTAGCAAGGGCGAATAAAGGATCTTCTAACACAACAGAAGATCAGAAGAGCGTTAGAGAAAGAGCAACCAGTGCTGATTGATGATGACGAATGGACAGATATGCAAGAGCAGGCGATTTCGACTATTCGTTTGTGTTTATTAGAAGATGTGATGCTTCAGGTGGAGGATCTCACAACCTGTAAGGAGATCTGGGAGAAACTGGAGAATCTGTATATGTCGAAGTCGCTGTCGAGCAAGCTATATCTGAAGCAGAGTCTGTATGGGCTGAAGATGTCAGAAGGATCGGATCTGATGCAGCATGTACACGGTTTCAATCAGATAGTCGGTGACTTGGCTCGTGTGTGCGTGAAGGTTGAGGACGAAGATAAAGCCATGATCTTGTTGTGTTCATTGCCTCCTTCGTATGAGACTCTACTAACAGCACTTACGTGCAACAAGGAGACGATATCCTGGGAGACGGTGGCTGTTTCGCTCCAATCTCATTATGAGCGAAAACAGAAGACGGGAGCAGAAGGTTCTCATGGTGATGGATTGTTTGCGAACAATCAGGAGAGAGGAAGGCAGATGAACAAACAAGATGGAGGTGGTGGTGCTAGGTCAAAGTCGAAGAACCGAGCAAAGACCATCTGTTTTGGCTACGGTGGCAAAGGTCACTGGAGGCGTGATTGTCTAAACAAGGGCAAGAACAAAGGGAAGACTGCGATCATGATAGTGATTCAGGGGATAGCGATTTGCTCGCTGTCATGCGGTCATCATGCAGGTCATCCAGACTCCCACCGTCTCTGTTTTAATCGCCAACGGAGTCGGATGAGGATCTGGTCTCTGGGTCGATTTTTGTGGTTTCGTAGAGAAGGGTTCGAGGGAGAAGAGAGAAAGAATCTGGTTGAGAGACGATGAGTCTCTTTCAATCAAATTGGATCACCACCATTGGATTAAAAACCAATAGACATAATCCGACGGTCTAGAATTGAGAATTGAGACTTTTCATTTCCTACATTAAGTTACTTTTCATTTTCTACATTTACGTTTCATTTTCTTAATTAAGTTATTTTTCCTTTGTTCATATCATATTTTCGAATTTGAGATGGTTTTATTACAAATTGATTTTGTTTTTTTGCTATAGGGAACGCAAGAGGTTGTTTCTCAAGTTCCATTAACAACAAGCGATGAGTTTAAGGCGCCAGTATCGGCTGTGAAGCAAGCGTTTCCTTCATGGACAAATAAATACACTGATTACTACTCGGCAGCGCGTTATGCTGAAGTTTCAAGAGCTTATACACAAAAATATGGTAACATGTATTTAACGTTATATGGCTTCGTTTACGTTCAACATGTATTACATATGTATATCCGTAATTCTTATTTTTTCTCCTCTGTGAAGTCTTGAGTACTTATTCTGTGTTTGTTAGTGCAGAATGTTTCCCGTTGTTGTGACATGTGGTAATACCTTTGTTCTGAAGCCATCAGAGAAGGATCCTGGTAAGTTTCTCAGTAAATAATGGACGCTCCTGTGATGTTTAGTTGATTATATCGGAAGTTCAATGTATAAAACTTTGGATCATGGCTTTACATATCATTGATGCCAGTTTGCATACATCTTACTATCTAGGCCAATGTGATGAGCTGATTGCTCTTAGATCTATCACATTTAAAAAATGTTATTGGTTGACTGTTGATTAACTATCGCAATCAAAGTTCCTTATGTTGATGTTGTATGCTATTTGTGAAACCGGCTGACAGTACTTGCTTTCACCATGTGCTTCTGTAATGCTTGCTGAGTTGGCAATGGAAGCTGGATGACCTGATGGAGTTCTCAATATCGTTCACGGCACCAATGTATGTTTTGTTTTAAGTTTCTTCTCTTGCTCATGTTTTCTATTTGTAAGGATTTGAACTATTGCAGTTATGGCCCTTAAGTCTGCACTATTACCTTTTCGTTCTTTGTCGTTAATATAATTGCATCTTTTCAGTTTCATGTTACTTGATTTTGCTTGTATCATTCATGAGAAATGTTATTACTTCGTATCATACTTGTGAGAAGAATCATAAGAGTTTTAACTTCGATGCAGTCTGTGAATTTCCAACGAGAATGGCAACTCCTGCAAGAAAGAGACTAATGTGGGACTTCAAGAGACTGCAGAAAGACCCACCCGTTGGGATAAGTGGAGTTCCACAAGATTACAATATCATGCATTGGAATGCTCTCATCTTTGGGTACGAATCTTGAACCATTTTTGTGTATGTTTCTGTGTTTTTGTTTGTCTTGGCTTCGTAGCTAAATTTCACTGTCTTTTCCTTTGCAGACCTGACGACAGTCCATGGGATGGAGGTAAGATCTTTCTATACTTATTTTAGCTTATGAGTTCAAAACTAATAGCTAAACTAAACCCAAATTTGTAACTTGTCAGGTACTTTCAAGTTGACTATTCAGTTCACCGAGGACTATCCAAACAAACTTCCAGTAGTCCGGTTTGTTTCAAGGATGTTTCATCCAAACAGTAAGCTCAACAATCATTCAATGGACAACATAGTCAAAACCTTTACACGAGTAGTTTCGGGTTTGATATTTGAAGTTTTGATGCAGTTTACGCTGATGGAAGCATTTGCTTGGATATCTTACAAAACCAATGGAGCCCAATATACGACGTTGCTGCAATTCTCACGTCGATACAGGTTTTGTTTTGACTTCTGAATCTTTTTGCATTGTAGGGTTATGCTATGCTATGCACAAACTAACTCCAAGACTTTCGTTTTGTTTTGGTGTTTGTGCAATACAGTCTCTGCTTTGTGACCCAAACCCTAATTCGCCAGCAAACTCGGAGGCTGCAAGGTTGTTCAGTGAGAACAAGCGAGAGTATAACAGGAAAGTAATGGAGGTCGTGGAGCAAAGCTATGTATAATATGATTCAGCGTTTGGATTTGTCCTTCTTATTTCACAATTTTTTGGGGTTCTCGATCTCATCAGCGGGGATTTCCATACGAATATCTCAGCTCAATATTGCTATGAAGAAGAATTCGATGAGGAAGAACAAGAAATTGGTAGTAAATATCGCTCAAAAAAAAGAAGCTCTTGCTTCAAAGTCGGTGGGAGCTGACCATGATCTCGGTTCCTCAAGAGATGAGGATCAAAGCAAAATTGAATCATCAGAGAGACGAAAATACGTGTTTCACAAGGTTTATTCCATTGATGAAGATGAGGCAATTGATGATGTTAGAGATGGAGTGATGCGTGAGGTTGAGGTTGGTACAGGTTTATCAGGCGCATTAAAGCGTCTCAGAGAGCAAGGAACTTTCAAGGAGAAGAAAGGCAAGCTTGTTGTTGGAGGTGTTACGGACAATTATGGAGATGACAGATTCAGAGATGCTTTTAAGGACATTCGGATTGAGAGAGTGGATGAGCATGGCAGGATGTTGAATGCGAGAGAAGCGTTTCGGTTACTGTGTCACAGATTCCATGGGAAGAAACCTGGGAAGAGGAAGGTAGGAAAACGGAATAGGAAACACCAAGATCAGTCGAAGCAGATGGAATCTTCAGAAAGAGCTGTGGAAAAAATGAGACAACTTCATGCCGGTTTAAAGACTCCTTACATTGTTCTTTTATCTTTTCCTGATTCTTGAATATTTTCTTTGCATGCTTTTACATTGGTTTCACCTATATATTCCTATTTCTTTGCAAGCTGTTAAGACTTCTGTGTTATCAAAGAGCATGGATGAAAATGTGGACCAACGTCACAGCCGTACACTTTGAATATGTAAGTCATAAGGAACTGAGAGATTATGGATTTGTACAGCCGTACATGTGATTTGTGACATTGAAAGTCCGGAAATCAGCAGTTTCCATCTAACTTCTGTTAGCTCTTACGATGAGACTGATCCTCTCCTCTCGTGGTTATCAAAGGTTATAGACTGAAATCTTGAGAAACTTGTCATCACTTGGTACCATCTTGGAAGCGTTAAATTTTGAGAAGGTCTTTTAGCTTTTGGTACCACGTACCGAATCATCGTGTAGTGTGTACGATCAGTCTATTAACTACAAATCTTGAGAAGGTCATATTCTCGGGTCACGGCTCACAAGAGATGCTTCTGTCTTTCCCACGTTATTTACCTGATGCTTATCTTTCTCTCAGCAGACCATTGTGGCCAGATCCACAGCAGTGGCCGAAGTAGCTTCTGCATAGCTTCACATGCGTCAAGAGTTTTGATATTGAGGTTAGTTACATACGTACATTGCATTTACATCACTGAGGAAGCTAAAGAAAATATCTTGTCTTATCCCAAAATCTCAATTTGAAAATCTGAAGATCACAAATGCTTATATATGCAAATAAATTATGTTCCGATAAGATAGTGTTAAACAAAATTTCAAAATAATAATAATAATAATAATAATAATAATAATAATAATAATAATAATAATAATAATAATAATAATAATAATAATAATAATAATAATAATACAATTCTTTTATATTACAAATTCTTTCATCTAAATTTAATAACAAACTTTGAATAAACCTAGAAACCAAATTTGATTTGGATTTCATTACTGTGTTCTTTAAATGATATTAGATTGTATGGATTGTGTTTTAAAGGAACAATATAAATATAGAATAAATGTAATAATTTTTTGATATAAGTAGCAATAAATTAATAATACACATAACCCGCGCATCGCGTGGACTTAGCCTAGTTAGTCTAAACATGAATATGCAATAGCCCTCGTGTCGTTCTTATTCTACACAGAACGTGTTTCATCATCTACAAATCTTTTTAAAAAACTTACTCTATATTTTGCAAGCTGCTGGCCATCTCTATCTTTATAAATTAATCAAGTGAGACAATTAAACAATCTAAAAATATTCTCTTTTTTGGTGTCTAGCGAGACACCATTATCAAGTTAATTTTTATTTATAATTAATCTTTCACCATGATTTTTACGCATTCCTAAAACCGGATTATGAATATTTAAAGGAAAGTAGATTCAAAAGACCCATTAAACAGCAAACAAAAACCAAACGTCTCTCTCAGTGATTCCAAGGCTTTAATAATACAACACTCAAGAGGATGCAAACTTAAAGACAAAAAGATAACTTAGATAAGTGCTTGTGTGGTCAAATCTTGAACATGCAAACTTCGACCAAAAGGTAAACGTATTGAAAGTTTCTAACTCCACCAGAGTCTCCGGTCAAAATCAATCTCTTCTGTTTTTTTGTCCAATATAGCAGCAAGCTTCAACGACTATTGCACAAAACTTTTCAAAGCTCTGTTCCCTCAAATCATTCATCTTCTTCTCTCGTAAACGAACCAAGTCTTCCAAAAAATCCATAGACCTGTGTCTGAATCCCCAAAGAAAGTCAACTTTCCTGTCACAATACCATTAAAAGAAGGACCATACACAATCTCCCTAAAAAATGGAACCAAAGTCTTGATATTTTCAGATCTGGATACCAAGAAACACAGAACACCAATGAAGACTATCTCTGTGTTGGTCTTCTTCTTCCTCCTCCTTCTCGTGGCAGAAGCCAGGAGCAAGAACAAGACAGGTTGCGACCAGTTCACATGCGGGAGCCTCGACTTCAAGTTCCCTTTCTTTAGCACAGACATGCCTTCTCGATGCGGTCTGTTCAAGCTGAATTGCAGCAACGAGATTGCAGAGATACAGCTCGAGGAAAAGGGGCAGTGGTATAAACTCAAGAGCGTCTCGCAAGCCAACACCATAACCATCACCGACACAAGGCTTAACCAAAGCTTGGAAACAGGAAACTGCAGCGACTTGTCAATCTTCTCTCTTCCAAATTCTCCATGGCTCAACTTGAGCACTTTGTACAAATGCAACAACAACAACAGTAGGAAAAATGGTTTCAGTTTTGCAAATTGTGGAGGAGGAAACAGCTCGTACTATTCCGATTTGAGAGATGTATCAGGGTGTACAACTATCAACACTCCAAAGAGCTGGTTAAATCCAAGAACCAAGAACCTGTCTAATGTAAGTGCTACCTTCTATGTTCATATAAAGCTGCCTGGAGACTGCTATCGCTGCCATAGACGAGGAGGAGAATGTAAGATGATTAAGAACAAGTATCACTGCGTTGGAGGAACCAAAGGTATGTGAACACAATGGAAGCATGTTCATTAATTACTCAAGCTCTGCTTGCAAAACACATTTGAAGATGACAATATAATTTGATTTCCTTCTTCTTTGTTGCAGAACCAAATTACAACCACGAGAAGATAAAGCTAGGATTAGGTAAATAGAGAGAGATGTTCTGTTTTAGCACCTTTTAGTTTCATCTTTCTGCATGAAAATTCCCCAAAAATATTGAATCAATTTCCTCTCTAAATTTGACCAGGAATCGGAGGATCTGTCATCTTGATAATCATCTGTGTAGCACTCTTTATCATCATCCACAGGATTTGCAGGAAGAAAACTGATTCAGACCTCCTCTCCAGAGGCAACTCGAAATCTGACGTCGAGTTTAGTCATGTCTTCTTCAAGATACCAATCTTCTCCTATAAAGAACTTCAAGAAGCAACAGACAACTTCAGCAAAGACAGATTACTCGGAGATGGAGGCTTTGGCACTGTCTACTACGGTAAGACAATCACACTGCACTCTTAACAACTATAGAAAATGAGATCTCTCTCTCTCTCTCTCTCTCTCTCTCTCTCTCTCTCTCTCTTACGTTTATGATCTCAGGGAAAGTGCGTGACGGGAGAGAAGTTGCAGTGAAGCGTCTCTACGAGCACAACTACAGAAGACTTGAGCAGTTCATGAACGAGATAGAGATCCTCACACGTCTCCACCACAAGAACCTAGTCTCTCTCTACGGATGCACTTCACGCAGAAGCAGAGAGCTTCTCCTCGTCTACGAGTTTGTTCCAAACGGCACAGTAGCAGATCATCTCTACGGCGAAGGACCAACAAACCAAGGCTTCTTAACATGGTCCATGCGCATGAGCATCGCCATAGAAACCGCGAGTGCCTTGGCTTACCTTCACGCTTCAGATATCATTCACCGCGACGTCAAGACTACAAACATTCTCCTCGACGGGAACTTCGGTGTCAAAGTCGCTGACTTCGGTTTGTCGAGGCTGCTCCCGAGCGATGTAACACATGTTTCAACCGCTCCTCAGGGCACTCCCGGATACGTGGATCCTGAGTATCACCGGTGCTATCATCTAACCGATAAGAGCGACGTGTACAGCTTTGGAGTGGTTCTTGCGGAGCTGATATCTTCCAAGCCTGCTGTTGACATAACCAGGTGCAAGAGTGAGATCAATCTATCAAGCTTAGCTATAAACAAGATACAGAGCCACGCGACACACGAGCTCATTGACCAGAGTCTTGGATACGGAACGGACGAAGGAGTTAGGAAAATGACTACGTTGGTGGCGGAGTTGGCTTTCCAGTGCTTGCAGCAAGACAGTACGATGAGACCGACGATGGAACAAGTCGTGGAAGAGCTAAAGGCATTCAAGAACGAGGAGCAGAGATGCGAATACTACAATGACAAAGAGGAGGAGATGATTACTACGCACCCTTCGCCACCGGAGTGGGGTGAAGCTTCACTGATAAATAATATGAAATTCCCTCAGTCACCGGTCTCTGTGACTGCCCAGTGGCCTAGTAAATCAACCACACCGAATACTAGTGCCTGTGACTACACAGTGACATAACTTGAGAGAGTAATCCATCAGGTATTGGTTTCTTTAAGATGAGTCACAGAGTTGTGAAGCTGTAGGTACTTGAGAGAATGCACATAGTGACATAACTTGAACTACCAACATATGTAACTGTATGTAATATTGACTCAAAGCAGGAAAAAAAAACAAAAAAATTGACTCAAAGATTAGTGTCTACTGATCTCAGGCCTATCTATCTTGTCAACACTGTGTCTAACTTCCAATACCAGAAACTAATGGGTATAAAAGGCAAGATCCTAAAGGCTCTGTCTAACCAGAAGCACATGGCTTTCATTATTTTTGTTCCTTCAACAAGTGCTAAACAAAGTTAAAACTTTGCCGGAGAAGATCTTATTACCTAGTGGAGAGAAAAGTAAACAAATCCCCTTCCTTTCCATACTTTTTCAGCAGCCTCCATCATTTGAAAGGTCCACAAGATTCCATCCAAGAGCAACTTGAAATATCAAATCACTTTCTATAGATCCCACAACCTGCAACTTGCACATAGAGAGTGAGACAGAGAGGAACGACCTCAACACATAAACGAATGTGATCTTCAAAATATTCGCTGGTCGACAAAATGGCCAAAAAGTATTTATTGATAGGTTTACACATTTGTTAGAACGACGAGAAAATATTACAACTCAATCACCGCAAGGGAAAAAATTACTTAATAGGAACATTGGCGTACAAAAAAACCTATGAAGCATCATGTCTCTGAGTCTGAAAAAAGCTTCATTTGCTTCCAAGCGGGATAGGTGAAGTGTTGATCTTAGTAGATGGAGTTTGTGATTCTCTCAAACCCGAATCTTTCTCTTCTTTTTCTTCTTCTTCTTCTCCTCGTCGACTAACTATACTCTTTCTTCCTTCTTCTCGTTTGTGATTGTCCGACTTATTAGTCTCTGGTGGCACAACTTGTCGGAAGAATCTAAGCATCATCTCATAGGTTGTGAATGTAATAACTGCTGATGGAGTTGTCCTCAGCAGGTTAGTGGCACATCCACGGTACATTCCAGGAATCCCTTCGCTTTGAAACACCTTCTTGATACAATCAACGACTCCCGAATACTTGTTCTCCGCGTTTCTCATTTGCCCTTGTTCTTGAAGTTTGGCCCTAATTACCTGTGTATGTAAGTAACATTAACCCATTTTAGCGTCGGATGAGTTAGTTAGTTATGAGCCTTAGAGTAAGGGAAGAGGACAGAGAGAGACCTCGTGTGGGTAAGTCAGAACAGAGGCGATTACTTTAGCGATCGAAGAGGCTATAGCAACATTCCCAGGACTCAGATCCTCGACGGATGTATTATCTGAGAACTTTAACTAGCTATGATCAGAACCTAGTTTGAATTTTTGGGAACAGCACATCCAAAGATTATGTACTTTAGTGGAGAAATAATGTGCTACGTACCCATGTCTGCCATGTATTGCTTAATCTTTTCATAGGCTGGAAACTGTATAGCAACATGGCTTACTCCAGCCAAAGAGGGCAATATACCACTGTTCCAACACAGATAAATTTAAGGCTCAACATAAGCACGAAATGTCACAAGAAAAGGGTGTTCCATGTAAGATACTGACCTGTACAGCCCTCGGAATCCTTCTTCATGACAAATCCTACTAAATGCAGACATTACGCTTTTGTAAGGTACCACATCCGGCCTAATTCCTTGCGTCTAAGAAAAGTGGAAGAGAAAACACCAATATGAAAATGAAAAATCCAAACTGCATAGTAATATGCTGAAACCAAAGAAAGAGGGCAAAACGCACCATTAATCTCGTCTTGACAACCCAAAGGGGATTAGTTGCAATAGATGTGGCAGCTCCAGCACCAGCAGCAGCTACCATGTTGGCCCCAATACTAAGCTTCCCATCTATCAGCAAAACACAAACAGTTGAAAGACCGAAACTTTTGGTCAGTAAAGGAATTAAGTAATCACTGGACTGCATTATCTGAGCAGAGATATCTGATAAGTAAGCAAAAACAAAGTACAATATATTACGAGAACCAACCACTTGACTGCAGGACATTCTTTAGCTTCCCATACACTGAGAAGTAGACCTGTGCATGATACCAGAATATCATTTACAAGGAAAATGTTTATGATAAGGCAAATTCACTTGAAGTAACAAAGCTCAGAAGAGAAATGTGGAGCTTACAGCCCAATTTGGGAGGAGAGCTATGATGGTTGGTGAAAGCCCTCGATACATTCCCCTGTAACCTTCATTCTTTACTATATTCTGTAGGAGTGTAATGATTACACTACCTGATAATTCAACAAATGTAGCTTTTTTAGCATCTCTAGGCATCTTTCAGTATAGAGAGTCTTACTTAATCAAACATGCATCAACTTCAATAGAGAAGATCTACATTTAACATCTAGGAAGAATTTGAAGCAAGTACCTCTTTTTCCAGAGGTTGGAGTTTCTGGGAGACCAATAACCTGTAACCTTGTTTTGATCACATCTAATGGGCACACGAAAGTCGCAGCGATTGCTCCTGAAAGTTTCAAAAACCCCAAATCAACCCACAAGAACGAATCAAGAGAATAAATTGAAAACAGAAGGGAAGATGATCGAACTAAACCTGCGGTGGCTCCGGCGCCGGCGTTGCAGGCGACTTCTCTAATGCTCCGATAATCAAAGTAGGAGCTTCCATGCTCAATCATCGCCGCAGGATTTAAACCCTAAATTGGGGAGAAAATAATTCCAGGAATCTATCTCAAAATCCAATACGAGATCCAACAATTGATAAGCAGAGCCGCGTGATCCGATGATTATATACAGTCTCCGTCGTTCTTGACATTGACCCGACCCGGAGAAATATGAAATTGTCGGGGACGGGAACGTGTGGAGTGGTAAAGGAAGAGACTTCGTGCGTCTCCAAAAGAAGAGAGGGTCGCGTACTAGGCGTCAAGGTCTAAACTCTCTAACTCACAAAGAAAGAGTTGATTTTTGTTATTAAACCTTGAAAAAATATCTGATTGATTCCGCAGCGAAAAGGCAAGGAGCGTGTTCACAGTTGGTTTGTGAATGTGATGTCGTCACATTTCATCAACACACAGCCCAAGAAGAATCAAGTACACTTTCGATTCTGCTAAATTTGTTTGACACCATAAATTATCAAATCACTCTGCCTTGGTTTCACCGTAAAAACAAAAAAAAAGTCGATTTACTAAATAAATATGACGGGCATATGTATTGTAAATTTTGCTACTTCAGTGTAGTACCAATTACTATTTCCTCTGTTTTTATATTTACTCGTCCCGAATTAGATTTGTTAAGAACAATTATACTTGCTTTGTTTTTTCTGAAAGATATATTTTTTTAAAGAGTATTTCACACATTTAGAAGACAAACTAAAACTTATAAAAACATGATTTTGTGTGATTAACAATCTCCTATAACTTTAGAGCAATAGAAATCCCCAAAGACATAATTATTGTTAATAAACATTTCTTAAAATCTTAATAATTTATTATTAGTTATAAAAATGCATTAGAAACCTTGAAATCTTTGAGAAACAACAATAAAAGTCTAAAAAATTCATTATTCAAAAACAAACTACAATAAAACCTCTATAAATTATTAATGTTGGGACTTCAAATTTTATTATTTTATAGAGTTACTAATTTATCGATAAATTTAATAGGATTTATTTTTTTTTGGTTTGAAATCTTAATGTTTATCAAAAACGGTAAAAAATATTTTCGATACTGTAAAAATTGTTCACAAAATGTCATATCAAATAATTTGGAAGATGATTCAAACAATATTGAATATGATCTTGAAACAACAATAATATCATATTTTACCAAATTAACCTTATATACTAAGTTGTTTATGTTCTAGATTTATAATTATCAAATTTATGTTATTATTAGGACCATATATTTACATAGAAGTTTATAAAATATTATCATTTTTTTCATCTTATCTTTCTTTTGCAGTAAAGAAAAAGACTTGGATTATCAGTTACTTTATGCACTTAATCATGTATGGGTTTGTTGGTTGAACAAACAAAAGTTTATAGTGAAAAAATATTGATAGCAGAGCCAAACACCACAACTACCGCCATCGTTCGTGCCAACATCACACGTGCTTTGGATCTTCGGATCAGCTCAACGTTCGAATCAGACGACTGAAAGGTCAACAGTGAAGTATAAAGTGTGGATTTTCAATCTCCACACTTATTGGATTTTTCAGATTCTTCAGAGAAATGGGCAATCTAAAACTTGCAGTGATCCTCAACAGCCCTAGAGACGACGCCGAGTTCCTGCTCGAGAAGCAAAAGAAGCCGGCGAAAATCGGCGATGAAGTTTACGATTCCTTCGTCGATTCCGATCTCTGGGACTTGCCGTCAACAGATTTACCGATTACTGAAGGCGGAATCAGGTCCGAGTTTGTCCTCTCGCTAGTTGAATCATGCTCGGAGGAGCTCGATTTGAGGAATTTCGACGTAGAATCCGCCCTGAATCGGGTATGTTACCGAAATTTCACACTGCTCTTTCTCGCGTTTTTTTTTTCTTTCTCATTATTTATGCGAATTGATGCTTCCGAGTAAAATGCAGCTGCTGGCGAATTTAGGGATTGAGTTTAGCGATGTAGGAGAGTGGAGATTCGTCAGGTACGTAGAGGAGCCTGAGTTTGGACCCGACGCCTCCGTCCGTACTTGTTTTATCGCCGGAAAGCTGTTGAATACAGATCGAAATTCTCAAGGTTTTCCTCATTTCAGTAAATATACAATCTTTAGTGTTTCCGTTGAGAGACTAATTTGGGTTTTGATAATGCACTCACTCGTTGATTGGCTTGATAATGCAGACAACCATAAATGGATGAACATGGAAGCATGCTTTGACTCTCTGATAGATGTAAAACCGGGAAGTGATCGTGTTGGGCCATTAGTACTAATCGGACTTGGGGATGGTTCCATGAAGCAGAGGTTGTCACCTTCTCAGCCTGTCCAGGTCTGTCTTGTTCCCAGACTTTTCTTCTTTTCTTAATTAGAATCCTACTCTCATGTAATTTTGTTTGTTTGTTTTATCTCAGGAATATCCACCTGGTGTTATGATTGTGCCAATGCGTAGCAGGACACTGAAACCTTTCAAGACAACAAATTTGGTTGTATTTGCTCCAGAGAATGGTTCAGGGGAGCATCAAGAGCATCAAGAGACCGGTTCTGTAGCTTATGGGGATGCGTTGATAGTGGATCCTGGATGCCATTTTAAACTCCACGCTGAGGTTTGTCACTAGCTATGTGTAGTTTTCGGCTCTTTCAACTATATCCTTTACTGCGTTGCTTTGTCTTGGCCAGCTCAAGAAAATCGTTGGTGCTTTGCCTAGAAAGCTAATTGTCTTCGTTACACATCACCATCGTGATCACGTTGGTGGTATGGATCTGTTGTTTTCTCGTCCTAGTTTTGTTTTGCTTTCGGAAATCTGTCTCATGCCTCTATGGTCGTATCTTCTCGTATTCATTCGTTGTTTCAGGTCTTTCTGCTGTACAAGAAAGCAATCCTGATGCTGTTCTAGTGGCACATGTCAAAACTAGGAATCGCATTGGTATGTTTTCTAACTTAATGTTTTTGCTGTCTTGAAATCTTCCTCCTTATGTTCAAATACCGTTTGATTTCAGGTAGTTGGTCTGGTAAGTTTACCCCAGTTTCCGGAGGAGAAAACATCTGTGTCAATGGTCAGAGATTGTCCGTCATTTTTGCTCCGGTAATAACCCTCAGATTTTCTGCTCTGATGTCAAGTGTGCTTGTTTAGCAGACTCTTAACCTATGAAAATACTCACAGGGACATACAGATGGCCATATGGCACTACTTGATACCTCCACTCGTTCTCTGATTGTTGGTGATCATTGTGTCGGGTAAGACAGACAACTTCACTAAATCTGTTTTTGTTATATAGGCTAATTAAAGTCAGTAAAAATAGAGTGACCAACAAATGTTAATGCACCAAATTTTTGTGTTGTTTCAGTAAAGGAAGTGCTTTCTTGGACATCAGGTCAGGTGGGAATATGACAGTAAGTACTAAATAGCCTTGGAAGCTCTGTAGTAGCCTTAGATAGTATTTGCAACTTCAATCGGTTTGTTTGAAAAACATTTAGTCATTTATGAGTGTATATTTGGCAAGTTCCTCAGTTTCCATTTTCCCTTTGCAGGAGTACTTTGAAACGACGTATAAGTTCTTGGATCTTTCTCCAAATGTGGTGATTCCCATGCATGGAAGGGTCAATGTGTGGCCCAACAACATGCTCTGTGGATATCTCAAGTATTAATAAGAAGATTATGCTGTTGTCCCTTGAAAACCTGTTGATGTTTTGTGAATTTGAATAAGATATTGACTGGAGGTGTGATCTTGTTTTTTCCAGAAATCGCAGAAGCAGAGAAGAATCCATCCGAAAGGCCGCTGAGAATGGAGCGCAGACGTTATATGACATAGTTTCCAATGTGTACTCAAGCGTGGACCGTAGTTTCTGGTTGGCTGCTTCCTCAAATGTAAGGCTGCATATCGACAATCTGGCTGTACAAAACAAATTACCAAAGGTAAAAGCTTCTTTTGTTAATCCGTAAGGCTCAAAAGGAAAAGATTATTACTGCTGATTCACACTCACTACTTGTTGTATTGATTTGATTTCAGGGATTCTCAATGCAAAAGTTCAAAGCAAGTTGCGGATTGTGTTTTTGGATACGGTGGATACCGGGTTATATCATCAGCCGGATTCCATTCAAGATCAATAAGCCAAGTTTTATCATGTCACTGGTAGCTGCAGGAGCTGGATGTATTCTTATGTACGTATCCAAAAGGAAGAACAAGATTAGTATTGATGAGTGAGTCATAGTGAAGTTTGTTTGTGAAACCTTGTGATTACAGGATACATTTATTCATGTGTGTTCCTTTTGGCTGAATCAATGAGATGACCAATCTTTATATTATTAATTGAGAAGTACATTCTAATGTTTGGATACAAGAATTAGAGAAACATCTATTTGGATAGAAGAATAAATGGAAACAAAAGTTGTTTGGATATAAGAATAAGAGAAAAATCTATTTGGATAGAAGAATAAATGGAAAAAATTGTTTGGATACAAGAATAATAACTTAAAATAAACCGATGGTTTAGAAAACTTCCGTTTTCCATCTCTTAAAAATCTGCAAAAAAAAAACTTAACATAATCTAACGATAATTCCAAATCAATAGAATATGCTTTTTGGATTTTCGGGTTTTTATAGACAAGTTCGGGTTTGGGTGAAAATCTGAGACATAATTTTATAGAGATATAGAAATTGTTCGGGTTTCTTTGAAAATTTCTGTTCGGGTTAGGTTCAATTTTTTTTTTCAGTTTAGGGTTTTCCGGATTTTTTAGATTTCTGGTTTTCGGGTTTAGATATATTAAAAAAATTGAGTATTTTAAAATTTTGATTAGGTATTGGGGTCGGGTTCCGGGTGAAAAAGTTTCCAGATTTTTTTTGTTCAGTCAGGGTTTTCGGGATTTTTTTGATTTCGGATTTTCATGTTTAGACCTATTAAAAAAGTTTGGGTTTTTAAATTTTTTGATTAGGGTTTTTTGTCGGGTTCGGATTTAGGGTTTAAATTTTCTACACAAAACAACAACGTCACACCGCACAAACGTGCGGGTACTCTACTAGTATCATAACAAATTTACATTTTGAGTTATTTAAATTCAACTTTCTGTTTGTGGGAAGCTATGGAATAGTTAGTGAATCTGGTAAGTTTTCCCTTTGATGAGCTTCGACTTTCATTATTAGAGTAATGAAATCACTCCACAAAAAATAGAAAGTTGACTCTTCTTTTAGCCTGCTATTTCTAAATTCAAATTGTTAAATTTGGATTAATATCGGAGACTTCCAATTTCTTGTAGATCATTTTTAGTTGACATGATCAGTCTCACTAGGGAATTATCTAATGTACATTACAACATATTTCAAGTGATTTAAGATTTGAAATATGTTTCCATCAACGATTAGTAAACCTTAGATGAAGCATTAAAGATTAAACTGGTGGACTTGTCTTAAAAGAGACCGATCCTTTGAGAAATGCGAGTAAAAGTGAAATTAAGTTTCCAAACAGACTGTGCTCAGTTGGTGAAGATGGTGTCCAAACCGGCAGAGTGGCCAGCTTTTGCGATCTTACTTGAAAAAGTAGAGAAATACAGAGGGTTGTTCTAGGAGTTCTCACTCACACACATCCCCAAGACGAAGAACACGAAGGCAGACAAGCTAGCACAGAGTGCTTGAGCTCAGCCTCATGATGTGTACTACATAAACTCAGTTCCACCGACCCCGCTTCCCGGACCGACTTAGGAATTTAGGCTGTTGACAAAAAAAAAAAAAAAAAAAAAGTGCAATTAAGTTTGCAGTTACGTTAATTTTGGAATATATTTTAAACTTTTGTGTTATTATAACATTCCTCTTAAGTTACAAAATGCAGCACTTACATTTTGAAGATTGGCTACATACGTTGAGAAAAATGTACCAACTCTAGTTATGCATATATCCATTTCTTTAAAATCTCGTAAATAAGTCTCATGGAAGAACTAATTCCACACAAAAAGGTAAAATTGGAGAGACTTAAAGACCCTGATATTACTATTCGTCCAAAAAAAAAAAAAAAAGACCCTAATATTACTTTAGGGTAGGCAAATTGTAGTATCATCAATGGATAGAAGCAATTAAATTTCGACAATGTATACAAAAAATGGAAATTAGTTTATTAAATTTTATTTTGAAATTGACCTAGTAAAAGTGGATTACCGTATATGATGATCGTATACGAGGGCCTTCAACTGAGAATTGTGCGGTGGGTTAAGATAAACGGTTAAGATGAAAGAAAAAAAGAATCCAACGGCTATAAAGTCACCACTCCTTACAAATGGAAAAATGTTCAGAACCCGGGAAAATGTAAAACCCGAGCACATGCGCATTTTAGCGTACACCATTTGCATTTCCGATACTACCCTCCGATCTAGCATTGATTTTACAAAACTCTCTGAATTCTTTGGCATCCTTCTCCATATATATACACAAGCTTTGGCCCTTTCTCTGGCGGTATCGTTACCAAAAAAACGAGAAAAAAAAAAAACAGCACCGCCGGTGAAACTTTTCCGTCGATCTCCGAAAGAGCGAAAATCTCTGAGTTTCGACGGAAGATTAAAGAGATTGATTGATTCTGTGTTGGATTCGTGGATCGATTTGGAAGAAGAAGAAGAGTGCAACCGATCAATGGTGTTGCGCGGTGAGATGACGTCGACGACGACGAGACCGGAGCGATCGAAGACGACTCTCCACAATTTCACGCTCCCGAACTTGAAGTGGGGGAGTCAGCGGCATCTCAAGTGCATGAAGATCGACTCTATGATGAGCAGCGGCAGCGGTTCCGGCGGCGATCACCGACTCCGACGCCGATCTCCGCCTTTCAAATTCGCCGGCTCGATCCCGTTTCGATTCGGCGAGGCCGAGCGTCGGAGCAGCGGCGATTACAGCCGGTCGAGAGACGCGCCGTTCGAATCGGTCGAAAACGGCGGCGAGGGAGAAGGGATCGAGGAGTTCAGGGTGAAGATTATGTCGGATCTGAAGACGGTGAGGGATAAGATCACGCAATCGATGTTCAGGAAAGACGACGGTGCCGAGGAGCAGGACGAAGAACGGAAAACCGACGAGTCCGGGCAAGAGAAGGAGAGAGAGACGGAGATTTCTCCGGTGAAGCCGTGGAATCTGAGGAAGAGGAGAGCAGCGTGTAAAGAGCCGATTTCCGGTATCCAGTACAACGGCTTGAACCAAATCAAAAACGGATTCGTTGCGATTGAGGAGAGGACAGTGAATCCGTCGCCGCCGTCGAGAAACGATTCGGCGAGGTTGAAGGAAAGAGGAGGCGGAGTGGTCGAAGCCGAGACGTCGAAAGAGATGATGCGGCCGAAGTTCTCCGTGAAGCTCTCGAAGAAGGAAATCGAAGAGGATTTCATGGCGACGCTAGGTCACCGACCACCGCGCCGGCCGAAGAAGCGGCCAAGGACCGTCCAGAAAAAACTCGATGTACGTATTTGGTTTTGATGAAAAATTCTTCCGATTTCTAGATTGATCTGATCTGACTGAAAATCTGCTTTTTTTTTTTCCGCCATGGCTACAGAGCTTGCATCCTGGGTTTTATTTGACTGAAGTGACGCTTGATGCATATAAGGTCCCAGAGGAAACGAAGGTACTGTAGAGTTATCATCTTCTTCTGCTTCTTCTCTGTAAAGCATGAGCCTTTATAGTTTTGAAAAAGTTCTGATTCGGTTTGCTTTTGTACAGAATCCGCAGAGATGATGAAATTTGATGATTGTAATTTCAGTTGCCGTTGAAGTTTCAAAGAATTGTCAAATATTTGAAATTGGGTCAAGTCTTGAAGCTTCTTTCCTTCTCTGCTGCTGCTAATTTTCGCTTCTTAATTATTCTTTTCTTCCCAAATTGTTCTGAAATAATCTGTACAAAAAGAAATTGCTGTGGAGGACTTGTAGTTTCCGGTTGATTAATACATAATAATGTTTCATTTCGTAAAAAAAAGCTTCTTTCTTACTGCAACATTAGACCAAGAAACAATAGTTTCAGAGATTTCTCTTTTAACTGTTGTGACTAGGAATGTGTTCTCTCTAGATCTAAGCTTTCTCACATGCTTCATCACCGACAGGGGAAAAGCCAAAAATCTTACTTGAGATTATTAGTCAACAAAAAGGCTGTGTCTTTTGTTGTTTCCGTTTCAGCTACTTGTGCATTAGACTGCAGTTACAGATTGAGGAACAGTTTGATTGGTGAAAAAGAGAGTTTGTTTGGCTCATTGTGTCTGTCTTTTGAGATTGACTCTGTGCAAAGGATCATTTCGCTTCTATGATGATCCTATGATTCACAAAGAGATCGTAAAAGCTGAAAGGCTGCATCTACTTTTTGATTCCTACGAAAAAAGCTGAGAGACCAATTGGTTTTTGTGTGGGGACTTGCTTTTTCCCGCGTCGGCTTCGTTTCCGCTTTTCTCGAGTTTTTGAGTCGTTTGACTCGTTCTTTCCCGGTTAACTTCTTTCGGTTTGCGTTAACCAGATAAAAATTCTGGTTAATCAATCGCCGTGCTTGACTTGACTCTTCTTCGAAGGTGGGTTCTAGGTGGTTCACCCTAAATATGAATCTATGGCCAAACTAATTATTATTTACCAGTTTTCAAGTTTATAATAATCTGATCGACAAAAATAGTGTATAATAAAATGAAGTTCCGAGCGAAATAACAATCTGAAACTCCGATCTGATAAATATCTTGGGCTTTTATTGAGTTGTGCGGTATGTGTAATTAAGTGTTGAACTATGCCATATTTTGTGTTAATATCTACACTGTACACATCTCCCGCTACTTTTTACGGTAACATAGTATCCGAACTTTCCTCCTTTTTATTTGACTTTTGGATCTATATATAAATTACAATATTTCTTTACTTTTTCACTCAAACTGGAAATTAAAAGGAAAAATAATACTTCTCTTTGGCGAGAAACAAAGGTAAAATAACCTGAACTCTTCTTATAGCTTCTTGGTTGATATTGAATGATAAGGAACTAACGTTGAGAGAGCGAAGGTGATTTTCGGAGGAGAAACGTATGTTAGGAGGATTTTGGGTATTGTGATGGTGACTGTTTTCCTTGGGAAGCAAAGCAAGTTATGATGATTCACATCCGTTTGATAGAACATTAAACATCAATGGCCATTCTCTCTCTCTCTCTCTCTCTCTCTCTCTCTCTCCCTCCCTCTCTCACTCACACACACAAACACAATCCCACTCTCCAAGTATATGCCTTCTTCCTACCATTCAATAACCAGTTGCCAGCAAAGAAGAAACCTAAAATCTTTGAAGTGGATTGGCTTACGATTACGAATAATGGAATAACAATGAGAAAGTCAGGCCTGTGTGTTTAATGGTCAATGAACCATAGTGTCCAAGAAGACAAACTGTACAAGAGAGGGATACGTGTTCTTCAGACTCAAGGCTAGAGCTGGAAGTCAACATCAGATTCTACCTAATTTTCTTCAGTTTATTAAAATGTAGCTATAGATAAAGTTCGTCGAGGGTATACTGACGACCAAAAAATCGTAAGAATGAAGTAGTGCATAAATGAATTGCCAATCGCGAAGCCTTGCCAATTACCAGAAGTTACCACAAGAACACTCGCCATCCCGGAAATGATGAAACCTCTTCCTATCTCTCAATATAATGTCTCGCTGCACCACCCGCGACAACAGCCTGAAGAAATTATGACAATCTCCACAAGTCCTCAAGTTCTTAAACACCCTGATTGCTGTTCCCGGAGGAAGCTTCATCAGCCCGAACGCAACCGCCATCTTCTCACTATGAGTAGTCAACATATCTGCCTTGTGACCATCACACTCTACGTCGTGCAACACAAAGCTCGTGTCCGGCACATACCCGAATCTCCTCATCTCTTCACCCAACTCTTGAAGGTAATTGTAAACAGCTTGTGCCTCTGTATGAAACGTATCATCCACCACAAATGTGTGCACTTGTGACTCCACTTCAATCCAACTACAAGCCAGTTCCTTCTTCACCCCTCGATCCCGCATTAGTTTACGCACCCTTGCCGCTTCCTCCCACTTGCCAGCAGCTGCGTACATGTTACATAAGAGCATGTACGTCCCGTCGTGTTCCGGTATGAGACCAAAGAGTTTGTCAGCAGCGATGATCCCTAGCTCCATGTTTCCATAGACTCTGCAAGCCGAAAGAAGAGCTTCCCATATTTGTGCAGTAGGTTCAAAAGGTAACGATCTGATTACACTTTCCGCTTCAGAGAACTTCCCAGACCGACAGAGCAAATCCACCAGCCTTGCGTAATGATCTGCACCTGGAGGTATTCGGTAAACAGTCTCCATCGAATCAAAGTATCTCCGTCCCTGGTCCACTAAACCTGCGTGGCTACACGCTGTCAAAACCGTAAGAAACGTGATCCGATCAGGTCTTATCCCTTCTCTCAACATCTCCTCATACACGTCTACTGCTTCAGCACCATGTCCATGCTGTCCCAATGCAGCAATCAAAGCATTCCAAGAAACCGAGTCACGACAAGGCATGGTTAGAAACACCTGCCTAGCGTCCTCCACAACTCCGCATTTCGCATACATTGTAATGAGGGCGTTTCCAGCAGAGAGGCTCGAGTCAAATCCTATTTTAACCAATTGAGCATGGAACTGTTGTCCGTTGCCATAAGCTCCAAGCACAGCACATGACTTGATCACACCCGAGAAGGCGTAATCGCAAGGCTCGAAACCTTCTTTCCTCATACAAGAAAACAGCCTCAAACCTTCTTCTCCAAACCCGTTTTCGGCTAACCCCGATATCATTATCATCCAGGTCAGAATGTTCTTTTCCGTCATCTCTTTGAAAAGCAGCCTCGCCTCACCTATGTGCCCAGAACTAACATACCCTGATAACAAAGCGTTCCAAGAAACCAAGTCCTTCACCGGCATTTTATAAAAAATGGCCCTTGCCTCATCAAATCTACCGCATTTGTAATACATAGAGACCAAAGAATTGTCAAGATGAAACGAGAAAGTCTTCTCCCTTCTTAATGCATAACCATGAACTTGCTTTCCCAGCTGAAGCAATCCAGCACTGGCACACGCCCTTATAACGCTAGGATACGTAAACTCGTCGAGCTCAGTTCCAGATGAAACCATCCTTCTAACCATCTCTAACGCCTCCTGATACAACCCGCGATTGACATAGCCAGAAATCATAGCGTTATACGCAGCAAGCTTCATGTTCTCGTCCATCCCCTCAAGCAACTCTTTCCCTGAATCAAAAGCTCCATTCTTTACATAACCCGTGATCATAGTCGTCCACGACCTCTCATCTTTCTCAGGGATCTCATCGAACACTTTCCTCGCTGAATGTAACAGAGAAGATGAAGTAGACAAAGGAGAAGAAGCACATTTCGAATACACAGACACCAGCGCGTTCAACACCGAGGTGATGTAACCGGCGCCGGATTTCAGAGCCGCGGCGTGAAGTTGCGCACAGTCTTTCTCATCTTCGGCAACAAGCGCCAAACCGGCGAGAGCACTCGAGAAAGTGAAGTTATCAGGTTTGAATCCTTCGCGCTTCATGTCACAGAGCATGTTGATAGCAGCGTAGCCGTCGTCATTGTGGGTGAAGCCGGTGATCATGGCGTTGTACATTACAGTATCTCTCATACTCACGGGAGTTTCGTCGAAAACACGCCGAGCGAGGGTGATTTCCCCGGAAGCACAATAGCCGGAGACCATGGTGGTTCTGGCGATTTTATCTGGCTCGGAGGTTTCGTCGAACAGCTGGCGTGCATAGTGAAGCTCTGACGATTTGCAATAGACATCGATCAAACGGTTGAGGATGTGGGCACGTGGCTGGAAACCGAAAGTGATGATATTGGCGTGGATGGCTCGCGCGAGCTGCAGAGACGTTCGTCGGAGCGGCAAACAGAGGCGGAGATTCGCGGCGTAGCGGTTGGCGATGGCGCAGACAAGTTCTGGATTCGGTTGCATTTCATGTTTGTGGTTCGGTTCGATTTTTCAATCTATACCAATCAATCTCTCTCGTTTTATAACGCGGTCTTCGGTTCAAATTAAACCAAAGTGTCAATTTCCACCGGTTTAGAGATCCGTAAATAACCGGAGAAGAAAACAACGTTTGATTGTTTCTGTTTTCATTTTCAACCATTAAACCCTAGAGGTCGTCGTCTCCGTCTCATTTCGTTTCTGTTACTTTGTCAGTTTCGGCGCCATGGCTCCAAAAGAGGTTGATTCCGAGAAATCGATTAAGCTATTTCTCAGCATTGGTTTGGACGAGAAAACCGCCACCAATACCGTCAACAACCCTAAGGTCACAACCAATCTCACCGCCGTTATCCACGAGGTTTGCTCTCTACTCATCTCCTCCTAGCTACTGATGTTATCTGTTATCAAATCTTAATGTATTATGATGAATTTGGATAGAAGATAACGAAGTTTCATATTTACTTTGAGAAAGTCTTCCTTTCTGTGAATTTGTTGACTTAAATTCAATTCGAAATTCTTAGTTTGATGGTTTTGCATGTATGCATCTGGCTGTAATTTGATCAATTACCTGCTCAATTGGATTATCAAAAATCTTTTTCTCATGAGGCTTGTCTTTGTGTGCAGGCTGGTGTCACTGATGGGTGCGATCGAACTACTGGCAATCTGTTATACACTGTGAGATATCTCTTTAATCTAATCCCAATTTTTTTTTGGAGTTAGCGACACAAATGTTTTATGAAAACTTTGAATTTTTGTCAATGCTTAGAAGAAACTTATTGAGGTTGTAATTCTTCTTGCAATGATGTGCAACAGGTCGCTACTAAGTTCCATTCAAATGCTCTTTCGCATCGTCCTACATTGTTCGAGTATATTGTCTCCTCTAAGGTTCGCATATGGCACCTTGATTTATAGTCTCTGCAGATGGAATGTTATCTGTCAGTCGTGGGTTTGGTTTTGTTTTGTTGATGGAAAACTGGCGAATGTTGTTTTGATTCTCTCTGTTTAATGAATCTGCAGATCAAAACTCCAGCCCAATTGGAAGCTGCGATTTTGTATTTTGACAATACCGCTCCTGAGGATTTCAAGCTAAATGAATTTGAGGAAGCATGTGGTGTTGGTATGCGCTTTTGTGTATCCGATTATTAGTCTGGATTATATTTACTTCTTCAAGAGTTTCTGTATTTCTTTTATTAAGACGATGCTTGGAGGTTATAAATTACTGTGCTTTCCATGGATTTGTTGGTGAGATCTTCATTATTGCTTTGGAACAGGGGTTGAGGTTTCCCTAGAAGATATTGAGAAAGCAGTTCGAAAAATGTTTGAAGAGAAAAAGAAAACAATATTGGAGCAGCGTTACCGAACTAATGGTTGGTCTTTGCTCTCTAATTCAATGTCTTCTCTTTCTATGTATTTTTTTTCAAATAACCAGCTTATTCTGTTTCTTGGCTGAACATGATGTAATTATGTGGTGTAGAGGGTCAATTACTTGGATATGTCCGGAAAAGTCTGCCATGGGCAGATCCGAAGATTGTTAGGGTGAGTTAATAGTTTTAGGCTTTTAGCAGCCCTTTTTATTTGCTTGTCACAAATTTAATCTCAGTCTTTTTATCCAATCTTATGTCTGCTATAGAAACTCATAGAAGAAAAAATGTTTGAACTTCTTGGTGAGAAAACTGCTGCTGATAATGAAAAACCTACAAAAAAGAAGGAAAAGAAGGAGAAACCTGCCAAAGCCGAGGTGATTTGAGTTTGTTTCTTTAAATGTGTATTCACGTCATTCAATGATGGTGTGTCTTTAATTCTTCATTTCCATGGCTTATCTCTAGGAAAAGAAAGCCGCTGTGGAAGCTACCCCAGAGCCCTCTGAAGAGGAGCTTAATCCATATTCTATATTCCCTCAGCCAGAGCAAAATTTGATGGTACGACATTGCTTTTCTTTTCTTTCTTTTTCTGAAAATTTTGTTTTGAAATTATGAGTTCACGTTCTATAGTTTTGAATCCTCTTCCATCGATAATCGTACTTCTAGGTGCTAATTATAGGTGATAACAAGAGTATATTAGATTTATTCTGTATTGCTTGGGCCTGTTTATTATGATGATCTTATACAATGTTGAAACAACATCGCTAGTTCTTATAAAACTGGATAGTTGGGATCAATATGTTTTGAAACAAATGGATGATGCCAATATGTTTTATGCGTTATTCTCGTTTTTTTCATGGGTGAATTCATGGAAGTTGATGTAATCATGGAAGTTTCGTTTGATATATATTCTCAGGTTCATACAGAGGTGTTTTACAGCAATGGCTCTGTGCTCAAATGTAGCAATAAGAGGGAAGTGCTCGATAAACATCTCAAAGTGACTGGAGGGAAAGTTTATACCCGGTTTCCCCCTGAACCAAATGGTTATCTACATATTGGACATGCTAAGGTAAAAATTCACATAAAATTTGGTTCTTTGCATAATGGTGTATGGTGTATGATTGGTAAGACCTACCTCTTATTGGTCATTTCCACTGTTTGTTCTTTCAGGCTATGTTTGTCGATTTTGGTCTTGCAAAGGAGCGAGGAGGCTGCTGTTATCTAAGGTAAGAATATTTCTTTGCTTTTGCGTCTCTAAAGCAATCATTTTTCTCTCTTATAAGGACATAGCTCAGGATTCTGTTAAACATCTGTTTTTTTCAGATTCGATGATACAAATCCCGAAGCAGAAAAGAAAGAGTACATCGATCACATCAAAGAAATTGTTAACTGGATGGGTTGGGAACCTTTCAAGGTAAACTTACTTTCAAGCACGAATAACCAAATTTTCTTTATTATTGCTTTGTGTTTATATGTATCTAACTTGATACGCTGTTTTCTTCTAGATTACGTACACCAGTGATTATTTCCAAGAATTACATGATTTGGCAGTCGAGTTGATTCGGAGAGGTCATGCTTATGTTGATCATCAGGTAGAATCAGTTTAAACCTTCAAAATTATGGATTCCTATTGCCTTTTCCAGTCATGCGTTAGTTCTAAGCTGCACTGCAACTTACTCCACACTTAGAACTCATTCTCTCGCATTACTGACTTTCAACTTTCAGACTGCTGATGAGATAAAAGAGTATAGAGAGAAGAAAATGAATAGCCCCTGGAGGGACAGGCCTATTGAAGAATCTCTTAGACTTTTTGACGAAATGAGACGAGGAATGATTGAGGAAGGGAAGGCAACACTGCGAATGAAGCAGGATATGCAGAATGATAATTTCAATATGTATGACCTTATTGCCTATCGTATAAAGGCAAGTGAAACAAAATTCATCTCTGGTTGCATAGAAGAATATGTTCTCCCAATGCTATGAGTATCTGATTTGTTTTTATGCTTTGCAGTTCACACCTCATCCTCATGCGGGTGACAAATGGTGCATCTATCCGAGCTACGACTTTGCCCACTGTACTGTTGACTCTCTCGAGAATATAACTCATTCGGTTTGTCCCTTTCTAGGTCTTTTGGCTTTTTGCAGCATTAAATTCTGCATTCGTGATTAATCATTTGCTTCCAACATTATATAAGTCTATCACCTGTACCTCTGTTGTTCTAACTTTCATCTTTATCTCCATAATATGTAGCTCTGTACTCTTGAATTTGAAACCCGACGTGCTTCTTACTACTGGCTATTACATTCCCTTGATCTCTACATGCCGTATGTGTGGGAATATTCACGGTTGAATGTCACAAACACTGTAATGTCCAAGCGTAAGGTTGGTAATTTACTTAACTAGCTAGTGAACAACCTGAACATATTCTGCAGAGAATCATATGATTGTAACATTTCTTTCATTTTGTTGCAGTTAAACTACATTGTGACAAACAAATATGTCGATGGGTGGGATGATCCGCGTCTTTTGACACTTGCTGGTTTGAGACGGAGGGGTGTGACTCCTACTGCGATCAATGCTTTTGTACGAGGAATGGGAATTACCAGAAGGTTAGCTTATTATCTAGATCACAAGCTCATCATAAGATTTAGCCTCTCGTAATTATATTCACTGAATATGCTGCCTGTTGTTGTATATTGAAGTGATGGTAGCATGATACATGTGAGTCGTCTTGAGCATCATATCAGAGAAGAGTTGAACAAAACTGCTCCCCGCACTATGGTGGTGCTTAATCCTCTTAAGGTGATCATCACCAATTTGGAATCAGACAAGGTTATGGAGCTTGATGCCAAAAGGTGGCCTGATGCTCAGAATGATGATCCCTCTGCATTCTACAAGGTGAAATGTGTTTCACATAAATACTAGTCTATTTTATTTTTCTGTTTTCCTGATCCTTTTTGTTTGGTTGTTGATCTAGGTTCCGTTCTCTAAAGTTGTGTACATTGAGCAATCTGACTTTCGAATGAAGGATTCAAAAGATTACTATGGGCTAGCCCCTGGTAAATCGGTCTTGCTAAGGTATACAAGGGGACACTTACGCTTTTTATCATCACTCTCCACTACTTTGGCTTTGAATATGACTTAATGTGATTCCTTCTGTTTGTAGATACGCTTTCCCAATCAAGTGCACAAACGTTGTCTTTGCTGATGACAATGAAACCATTCGTGAGATTCATGCAGAGTATGACTCTGAGAAAAAGACAAAACCAAAGGTTTCTTCTTTTCTTTAACAATCATTATAATTTCTGCAAATTTTGTGGCTTTCCTTATCGGTTACCTTTTATTCTTCTACAGGGTGTTCTACACTGGGTCTCTGAATCTTCCCCAGGAAAAGAGCCCATAAAGGTTGAAGTCCGGTTATTTGAGAAACTCTTTAACTCCGAGGTATAATACTATTTACTCTCTAGCTTTCGATGTAGTTAACAAAGATTTGTTCCCTTTAGCTAATTTGCCTTTAATCATAACAGAATCCGGCTGAACTCAATGATGATTGGCTCACTGACATTAATCCGAACTCCAAAATGGTGGTCTCTGATGCTTATGCTGTATCAATCCTTGACGGTGCTGCGGTTGGGGACAAATTCCAGTTCGAAAGGCTAGGTATTTTCTGTTTCATGATCATAAATATTGCTTGCAGTTCTAGATGATCGGTACAAAAAATAATTTTGGTCTCTTTAAACCAACACTGATGCAAGTCTTAACCATAACTTGTGCGACACATTAGGTTATTTTGCGGTGGACAAGGACTCTGAACAAGGAAAGCTCGTGTTTAACAGGACTGTCACACTCAGAGACAGCTATGGGAAAGGTGGCAAGTAAAACACTCCACCCATTTTCACACTTTGTTGGTCAAAACTTTTTATAACAACAGTAAATGAAAACTTTGGTTGATACGCACGTTGTGCAACAGTTGGGATATGGTTTTGTTGAACATGTTTCTGAGTCAAAAAAAATGTTTTATTAGCTCACTCACTTCTCATCGTACAAAAGGAGAAAAAAAGGTTTTATCTTTGCGATAACAACAATATCACCGGCGCAAAAAGATGCTGAAAGCTCTTTGCCAGATGGAACATCGAGAGAGAATTTAGTTTATCTTTACGCATGTGGTTTTGATTTACTGAGAAAAAAAAAGCTCTGCTTTGATGGGATTGCGATAGGTATCAACGTGTGCTGCTTCTCAATCTCCTGCACATCATTCAATTCTATTGTCTTCTTCAGAATCTTCACCACACTAAAAGCTCTAATGTAAATTTACTTAAAGATATGAATATTACATGCAGAATAAAAAAGGTTGTAGAGGAAGATGGAATTTTAAGGATTTTAAGGAATAAGGTGCTTTTACGCTAAGGACAATACTGATCAACTTTAGGAGGCATGTGATAATATGTTTAGTGTAATGTTCCAACACTCTTTTCTTTTGGTAGTACCAAATACCAAATAAAATTACTGTTTCATGAACCACAGCATATAATTTGTTTGAGTTAGGTGATTCTATGTTGATAATTACATGCTACAACATGGTTCGTTGATTAATAAGTTTGACTGATTACTATTCCAACAAAAACATACGACTCTCCAACAACATCCTTGGAACAACTTTGACCATCTAACAGTATGGTCAGTGTTTTTCTAATCTCCATCTTTGTTGGGTTTCCCCGGAATATACGGTCGTGATTTCGTAGTAGAAAACAAAGTGTGAAGACCAAGATAATTACATATAATTGGAGAATACAAAAAGTAAACGGCTCTCTAGATATAGGTTTTTATAACACGTTTTTAAAAAAAAAAATCATATATCACAATGACACAAAGAAAATATATAGAAAAAACGTATCTCCTATTTATCTGATATACAAAATGTGATCCATAGAAAACTTGAATTATTATATTGGAGATAAGAAGGAGACAAAGCATGCAAAGACTTTCATCTCAGAAAAAAAAGTAATGAAATAAATGTGTGTACTATTGCTTTCCTAACCTCTGAAAAATGATTTTAAAGTTTATTGCAACTTTTTAATGTCTTTTGGGTTCAAATCACTCCAAAGTTTCCACGAACTGACCTCCAAAAAATATTAAATGCTTTTGAAACTTTTTATTTGGAAGTAATGAGGAACTTACCTCCAAGTTTATTCAAGATTACACATTCATTTACATGTAGGGGGAAAAAACTACCTTTGTCGACCAATCGCAGCTCATGTGGGACTATGTATAATCAACTAATTTTGTATTTATTGTCATTTTTGAAGCGACATATAGGATTATCAGTCGGTTTTGAGCAAAGCTCCTCTTAAATGTAAATGGCTGAATGCAATGAACTTATATGATGTAATATCAAACTGAAAGCGATTTAATCTAATTCATATCCCCAATAAGTAAATTAATTGGTTTTCTGTATTTGTTTTGTTTTTGTTTTTTCATGTTAAATTTTAAACTAAACAACTTTAACAGGTTTACATATGGCCTTTTTTTTGGTTCGAGGTAAACCGTAAACAAAAGAGGAGGGGAAAATTAAGTTTGTTTTAATCCAGTTGCGAATGTTTTTGGTTCGAATATATCATGTAACATTTACTGATTTACATGGTTCTTTTAATTAATGCCCGCCCAAAAAAAGATTATAATCATTTATATATATTATCTTACATTCAAATGTATCTTGAAGAAGACGTTGACATAAAAGAAACTATTAGAACACACAGTCAATCGTATATATTTTATACAATATAATCATGTAAAACCTCTATAAAACAATAATGTTGGGACTTTGAAATTTTATTATCTTATAGAGTTATTATTTTATCGATAAAACAATAATTATTATTTTATCGATAAAACAATAATTATTATTTTATAGAAATATTCTATCAAAAACAAGAAACTTTATAGACATATATTTTTTCACTTTTTTATTCAAATTTTCCTTATACTTTGTTATTTACATATTTCATGCTCAGAAGTTCAAAATCTAGAAGAAATTATGTCTAATGTTCTTAATGGTGAAGATGAAGTTGAAGATGATGAGGAAAGACATGTGCAAGTAGTTAAGCAATTGTGGCTTCGAGAACTCTTCACAACTTTTGGCTGCAAGTTGAGAATACATCAACAGAAATTGTAGATCCAATAAGAAAAATTCGAGATGAGCTCCAACGGGAATCCAACTTTCAGAAAAGACAAACTACATTGGAGTCATATTTTACTAAATTGTCTTAGATATATATGCCTTAGTTTTATAATTATTATCTTAGGTTATTGTTGGGACTATATTTTTACATAGGAGTTTCAAAAATATTATTGTCTTATCATCTTATCGCATTATGCTATTTTTTACATTGGCCCGAGTTGGGACCGGAGAAAATTATTGTCTTATAGTGTTTATTGTTTTATCGAGTATTGTTTTATAGAGTTCTACTGTATAATGCCAACGTACAGACTTTCCGTCGACTGATTACCATGCACACGTCTAATATTCAAAGACAATTCATGAATTTATTTCTAGAACTATCACTATTCCCCCGTCAATTTCTTCGACTTAACATCGAGTATCAATCATAGATTTTGGATTCTTTCACTTGTAGAGGTAAGATTAGATTTGTTCTCCTTCAAAAGATCCAAACTAACGAAAATGATAACACTATTTAATATTCAAAAGATATCAAGCTTTTCTCCCGAAAGACGAGCACTTTTCTTTCAGTTACGTTGTCACTTCCAGCTCATATATTATTAATCAAAAAAAAAAAAGTCAAAGTTTAAGTTACTCTAACCAAATTCTTCTACGTAAAACACTTTCGTATTGAAATGAATGTTACCTTACAGTTTTACATTAGCTCTCTTTGAATTCATAATTTAATCTTATATAATACAAGGAAAAATATAATAAGTCCCTAATGCGATGCTTATTAGAAACTTCTTTGAGGTTGTAAGAAAAATCCATATCCATGGGCTCCACAACCTAATTGAAGTGTGAGTACTCCTCAAACTGCCAAATATCGTCCATGTTCCATATTGGATCTTGTGTCACATCCTCCTCGTAAGTCGAATCTGCTATGTGACAATCCTGCAATGGTAAAATGTCTGAATTGCCCCCCATGGTGGCCACCATGTACTCCTCCTCTATGCAAGGGAAAGAGCTATACTCTTCACTCACACATTGGCTACTACTCCCTCGTGAACCATCCAAGTACATTGAACCTGTGGTTTCAAGATCATACACATCCATGAATTGTGATATTTCCTTGAGATTTTGAGACATGGAAGTGGAACAACCCATGTTGTTGAAACCGGAATGATGGTTAGAAAAATCGTTGTCTCGTAAAACTGGCGCAAGTAAATCAGGTGGAGGTGGAGCAGCTTCACTAGTCTTGGTGTTTGAGTTGTCTTTCATTTTGTCGATCAATCTTGGAACCCAAAAGCTACGGACGACTTCCAAGAACTTGTGGCTGCTGGAATCGATGTTGAGCAATCGCGCTTGTTTCTGAACTCTAGTTCTCCAATAGTTTTTGATCTCGTTGTCTGTTCTTCCAGGCAAATACTGCGCAATTTTGGACCACCTAACAAACAACATGTTACAAGTTGGATTTATATACCTCTGTTTTTTTATAGAGTTTAGAGGGGTTTTTGTTTTTTTTTTATAAGAATTTCATGCATAATATAAACGTACCTATTACCCCATTTACAGTGGAGCTCGAGGATCAAGAGTTGTTCTTGAGGAGTGAGATTCCCGCGCTTTATGTCAGGTTTAAGGTAATTCAACCATCGCAATCTGCAACTTTTTCCTTTTCGCTTTAGCCCTGTTTTTTTTTTAATAAGAAATGAGATCAAACTTTTAATGCAAGTATGCAACCTAATAGATCTTATGATATGAAGTGAGAGTATAGAATGATTGATAATAGATCAATTAAGACATATATAATTTCTCATTTAGTGTCTTGCATGTACATCGAGCGTATTGCCTTTTGTTGGAAAACAAGAAAATGTAAAAGAAATTAAAATATTACCAGAGGATTTGGCGGCTAGATTCCACCGGCCTTCACCGTTATTGGCAATGTAATTGGTGAGAAGAGTGTCTTCCTCAAGCGTCCAAGGCCCTTTTCTCTGCTCTTCACCCTCTTCATTTCCATTACACCTTTTCTTCATTGTATTTGACATATTTGACATTTTGTTCCCTTTTTTATCAAATATTTCAGTTCCTCAGCTTTATTTGTGTGTGTGTGTGTGTGTGTGTGTGTGTGTGTGTGAGAGAGAGAGAGAGAGAGAGAGAGAGAGAGAGAGAGAGAGAGAGAGAGAGAGAGAGAGAGATGGTTTTGTGATTTGAGAAGTGAAAGTGAGTTCAGTGGTTATGGGGAATTTATAGACTCTTCGTATTGGATAATGTTCGTTATTTCTTTTAGACAAAGATGCATACACCGAACTGACCGAAGTTGAACCATAAAGATTACTATATCACTGATCATTCAGTCACTGTATTACTTGTGTCTTTAAAAAAAAAAGACTTATTTTTGTTTTTTTAAATATTAATTCCAATAAATAATTTAATAGTCTTGAGAGAAAGATGAATTTTTAAACAATTTTTTTATGTTCCACAAAGATAAAATTTCTAGCTTTTTGATGCATTTTTTTTTTCAAATTTCAAGAAACATTAATTCTTTTGTTGGATTTTTATTGGTTTAAATTTATAGAAAATTGTTTTGTTGCAAAAATCTGTACAAAAATCAACTTTATCTCTTAATCTGTGTGAAAAAAATAGAAAATTTATCTTTAAGAAACGGAAGGAGTATAAACTGTGAGATAAATGTACGCAATTTTATGGATGTATAAGAAAAAGTTTCATTTAAAACAACATCAATTATCAAAAGTACTAAAGAACTGAAAGAACAGCTTGGCAACTTGTAAAAGGTTCAAAGCTTTTAAGTTGGACGTATGTAAAATCAATCAAATCTTGGCAGAGGAACTCTGTGCTAATAAGTTACTACAAAGATACTCCAAAGAAACACGTGTCATTATTTTTGTTACTATTCCCTCTCAAATTCTGGATAATTCGTTTACCAAAAATAATAAAATAATAAAAACTCAATCATACAGCCTCTGGTTTAAGATAAGTTATAGTGAGGCAGTACAAAAGTGTAAAGATAGAAACACATGGAATGAAATGACGAAAAGGAACGACAAGGGCAGGACAAGTTGTACAATTATCATTTCCATATTTAGAAAGTTATTAGTGGTAAACTGTGCCCATCAGTTTCTTTTTCTGGGAACCCATTTGTGGTTAATAAGATTATTATTATCAAAGTTGGACTTACGATGGTGTGATATAATATAATGCCAACCCGTTTTGTATTTAACCTAATTAGTCCATAACGACACTTGCGGATAACTACGTTAAAGAACATATATATAATCATCTAGAACAAAATTTCCTTAATTTGATTATGAATTAGTAAGGAATTCGAAGTTAGAGATTACGAATACAAGGGTTCATGTGATTTAGCCGTGCATAGTGGTTTACTGTTAATTTCAAAACTAGAACAAAACAGGACAGTTCCACACGGAGATCAGATAGTAGGAAGCATGACGCTTTACTGCATGTTGTCTTACGTTAAGTAACATAATTATTCTCATCTTCTGTTTCCACCGAATGGTATGTTACTCTTTTGAGCTTCTCTCCAGAGAACTCTAGCATCTATTAGCAACCGATAGATAATTAAAGCTTTTATATTCAGGAGAAAAAACGCATTATGATGCTTTGATTGTTAACTTTTTTTAAAAATTGGTCGGAAGGTGAGGCAATTATATCAGGATTCATTTCTAAACAAATGAGATCGAAAACTCCCCAACACACCTTACGGTACGTGATCGGTGTTCGTAGCTCGTACTGAAACAAATCCTAAAAGTGAATATTTGGTTATATATTGTAGGCTGAAAGTCCAACTATCGGTCCATTTCCCGCAGATTGGCCCGTTTTTGTTGTTTGTATTACAAAACAACACCAAGCTAAACAAAAACTACTTAGGAAAATAGAATGTCAAGTACTACAGTAGTTTGGTTTGGTTTAGTTGTGTACCATGTTTTTCTCTCTTCTTCATAATATAGATGCATAGACAACTGGAGTACTCCCTCCGTTTCAAATTAGTTGTCGTTTTGGCAAAATGTATCTGCAAATATTTGGATGTATCCGAACGTGTTTTGCATTGTAGATACATCCAAATAATTGCAGATACATTTTCCCAAAACGACAACTAATTTGAAACGGAGGGAGTATTAAATAGACGAATGATGATCCAATAATTAAGTTTTGGGATATCTACTTTGTGTGTCAATTCTTATAAAACATTTTTTTCAACAAAACATTTAATTACTTTTCGGTCGCATTTAAATGGCTATTCCGGTAATGTAAGATGAAAATAGGAAAAACGAAACAAAATTAATGTGAAAGCGAGATATTCCCAACGTAGAAATGTAGTAATTGAATAGTTGCCCCATTGTTGTTAAATGGAAAGTGGTGAAGCCAATCTTAACGATAGAGATGGGCTTGGATTTTTTTGCCTCCTTACAATCATATGAATGCCATCAAAGTCAAATTTCTTAATTTATAATAGTCACATTTTATGACGTTAATCTTAAATTTTTTGTTAATTTCAGCGAATGTAATCGCATTGTGGTTCTAGATCCTTACGACCCTTCCACACCCACCCAAACCTAGATTCAATCTAAGATATGCCACCTTTCGTGGGATTTAATTATTATATCAATCTAAGATATGACGCATCGATATATATATCATTATTTTGCAACCTGCAAGATATCGAACCAACAACTCTAACAAGTTCTTGAGCATATTTTGCAGAATATGATCGATCATTATATATGCTCAACTGAATTCTCATATATACTTGAACATATGACGCATCAATAACCCACTAGTACAAACCAATATATGCTACGTACATGTTTTTGTCAAGTTTTTTTAGTTGTTTATATTGGTTTTTATTAGTGTTATCAATGCGTCATCGCCCGAGTTCGAAACGTATATATAATGATGTATTAACAAAAAAGTTGTAGTGTCTATAAAACTTATCAACCGAAGAACTTCAAAAAAAACATCCTGCTTGACATGGTTCCATGTTCATCTTTCTATCTGCTTTATAAACTTAATATGTGAAACCAAAACTTATATCTTCTTGTTTTAAAACTTGTCTTAGATAAATAATATACCAGTCTTATTTTTTGAAGATATAGTTTTAAGTTTAACCACAACGTAAAGTATTTTTTGAAACCACAAATCGAGTTAGCCGTTTAATGTTATGTCGTCGTACTTCAGTTTTGTCTGATAGTCTAATAATTGAAAAGCTGATGATCCCTCGTCGAGCATTAATGCAATTTCTTCTGTTTCAATTTGGCACCATACTTGTTACATTAAAAGGGATACTCTTTTGGTCCCGGCAGGTTAGATATATCTAACATTGAACATGGGTCCCACAAAATCTAATGCACAGTGGTAAATGGAAACCTAGCTACAAGTTTCTCTTTGGTCTCACACGCATCTTTCTCATTCTCAGAAGTCACACGATACAAGCGCTAATTACCAAATCATTGAAATTTTTAATAAACTAATTAAATACATTATTAATCCTATCTTAAAGATCTCCATCTATATAAATAATCACATAACTCAACTGCTAGTTTATAAGAGAAGAGAAATAATAAAAAGATACAACTCACCATAACAAACAATATTTTGGTTTATAGTGTCTCTCTAATGGCACGGTTCGAGCCATTCATTGGTTTTAATCCTTTATTATCACAAATAAACCGAAATTCAGAGCTAACATATCTGGACTCACCAAGTTCTACTCCCTCAAGTTTCATGCTTTTCTCCAATGGAGCTTTAGTCGATCATGCCCATCACATTAATTCTCACTTCTCTCCCAACTTCTTGCATGGTAATTAAAGAAACTTTTTTTTGGAAAGACCTTCAAATTTATATTTGTTTTTCTTGAACTTGATGAAGCTAAATTGCAGGTGATTCGGGAAGAAAAGGCAAGAAAGAAGAGAGTGGATCGAAGAGAAAAAGAAAGAGGTCGGAGGAGGAAGAAACCATGACCATCGAAGATGATATTCATCAGAAGCCAAGGGATGTTGTTCATGTCCGAGCTAAGAGAGGCCAAGCTACTGATAGCCACAGCTTGGCTGAAAGGGTATTTCAACAAGACGCACAAAAGAGATTTACTTTCCTTAGCTAGGTTCTATATATTTATAAAAAAGATTGGCTTGATTTGGATCGTTTGTGTGGAATGTATAAAGGTACGAAGAGAGAAGATAAATGAAAGGCTGAAAAGCCTACAAGACCTTGTTCCGGGCTGCTACAAGGTAATTTAACTTTCCTAAAAACCCTAATTTTTGTTTTGTTTAAAGAAAAACAAAAAACAACAACGCTCTAAGACCAATTCATGAGAAATTCTACAAAGTACCAAATATGGTGTTTTTTATACTTTAACAAAAAGGTGTAGTTTTTCTTATAACATTTACACATATTATAGGAAACTGTAGATGAACAAATTGCGTTTGAACAATATCAAGTCTAACTTGAATCTTGCTCTGATTTTTAAGGCCTAAAAGTTTTGACCCAAACCCTGTATCCATTTATTTCTGTCAATGAAAACCCTATAACAAAAGGAAAACAATATTGTAATAATTTGCAAAAAGGAAAATAAAAACAATATTGTAAAGTATAACCAATAACAATATCTCAAGATAATAAAAGTAAACAAAATGGGTTTATTTTCTTCAATAAGATTCAAACATGATGCAGACAATGGGAATGGCAGTGATGCTTGAAGTAATCATAGAATACGTTCGATCACTGCAGAATCAAATCGAGGTTAGACCAACATAATAGATACATTTTCACTCTTCGAACATCCTATTATCTTTTATCAATAACTCAATGAAATGATTAATAATCAAATGGTTTTCTGCTATGGCTTCGTGAGTGCAGTTTCTGTCCATGAAACTCTCCGCCGCCAGTGCGTACTACGACCTTAATTCGTTGGATATTGAGCCAACGGATATATTTCAGGTAATTAACACATATGACATGGTTAAGTTATATATACATTTTCATGGATTTATACTAATAATAATCGTTATAACAACAGGGAGACGCAGAAGAGATGGAAAGCATTTTAAGAGAGAGTGTTGGAACACAGCCTCCAAGTTTCAGTTCAACATTTCCCTTCTGATCATAAGCAAAATTATCAGAGAAATTATTCTCTTTTCATATAATTAAACTGTCTAAATAAGGGCTTACCATATCCGTGTATACGTATATCATAATTCATAAATGTATAACCTTGTGAAGCTTTATGCATATATATGTACCTTCAAATTAATTATGAGTAAAAAGTTATGTTACAACTTACAAAGAAGGGGGAAAAAAACTATTTTGAAACAACAAAAGATTTTGTCATTTTGAGATATTACAAGAGAAACAAGACACAACAATAAGACATACTCACACATTTGGCTTGCAATCAATTATGTTCTGACTCACTGAAGGCAAATCTGGTTCAAAGCATCGGCGATGTGCTTCATCGCAGGGCGTTTCTCAGGGCTACTATTAACGCAGGCCATGGCAATCTTCAGCACGGCGATGACCTCTTCTTCAATCTCTGCATCATCAGGCACCAAATAAGGATCCAAAACGTCTGACATCTCTTTCTTCTCATCGATACACATCTGTATCCACTTCACTATCTCCATCTCCGATTTACCGACAAAAACAATCGGTAATCTTCCCGTTATCATCTCTAGCAGGATCACCCCAAACGAGTATACATCCCACTTCTGCGATGGCTTCACCGTTGCTTTCATTGCTTCAGGAGCCTGGTAAAACGAGCTCAAGTTCGCAGATGGACCGATCGACGAGCCGTTCTTGTTGGTTGGTTCTAATGTCCCGGCGATGCTAGAGAGGTGCATGAGTCCGAAATCCGAGATACGAGGCTCCATATCCTCTCCCAACAGTATATTGCTGAGTTTCAGAGATCCATGAACATACTTCTTGGGGCTAAACTCGTGAAGATACAACAACCCTCTCGCTATTCCCCTCATTATCTTCAACCGAACTTCCCAAGACAACGGCTTGAATGACACCATTGCCGGATTCCCTAACAAATTCAAGAAACAGAGTTTTAAAGGTAAATTCACAAAAACAGAGCAAATACTATTCATAAAGGTACTTCCTTTACCGTGGAGTGCATTGGCAAGACTTCCATTAGAGATGTAGTCGTAGATGAGAAGCTTCTCTTCGACAGACCAATAATAAGCTTTGAGCTTGACGATATTCGGATGCCTTAGCTTCCCAATTGCTTCGACTTCAGTCTGAAACTCCTTGCATCTCTGTGATCCTCCTTCTCCTAATCTCCTAACAGCTACGGTTAAGCCATCTTCAAGAACAACTTTGTACACAATCCCGTTCCCTCCTTTGCCAAGAACGAAAGCTGAAGCTTTAAGCAGCTCATCTAAATCCAAAGCCATGTGCTTATCCAGCAGAACAAGATCATGCTGTGGCTCATCCAGATTATCCGAAGAAGGGCTCTCTGATCCGTCTCTGCCGAAACAGAAAGATCCGTTCTTTTCTCTCCCTTCTTTCTCCAACACATAGCCTTCCTCGTCCACGCTGTTACGCCGCGAGCAGAGCTTCAAGTAGCAACAAGAGAAGAGAAACCCAACGATGCAGATCCCAATGGCGTCACAGACCACAATTGCAATCACAGCAGATTTACTCAAACCTCCTCCTTTCTTGGACCCTTTGTCGTGGCTTTCAGGTACAAAAGGAAGAGATGTTGGAGAGTGTTGTGCGTTTGGCAAGCAAGGATCTTTCAAAGGAGGGCCACAGAGCCTTGGATTCCCCAAGAACGCAGTTGGTCCTCTGTTAACCAGAGCACCGGTTTGTGGGATTGGTCCACTCAAATTGTTGTGAGCTAGATCAACATACACCTTCTCAGGCAAGCTCCCCAAGCTCGCTGGGATCGAGCCGCTAAACGAGTTATGAGACAGATCAAGAGTACCTTGCAATCTAGTCAAATTGCCCAAATCATCAGGGATGAGACCGTTGAGGTTGTTGAAAGAAAGGTCGAGCCTTTGTAGAGAACCCAAAGCGTGACCAAACCCACTAGGAACAGAGCCAGTGAGATTGTTCTGGCTCAAATCGAAGCTCCTAAGCCTCTTACACTGCAGAATCGATTCTGGGATCGACCCATTTAGAGAATTGTGCGAAAGATCCAAAATTTGCAGGAATCTTAGGTCGCCAATCTCGTTTGGGATGGACCCGGATAAGGAGTTTCCGTAAAGGACCAAACTTTGAAGCCGTTGAGATTGAAAGAGCTCAACGGGTAAGCTCCCACTAAGCTCGTTGCTCCTCAGATTGAAATGGCGGAGATTAGAGAGTAAGCCCAGAGAGGAAGGAAGATAACCTACGAGTTTCTTCTTGGGGATGCTAAGAGAGACAACAAGCTTCTCATCATCACAAGTGACTCCGTTCCAAGAACAGGGGTCTTGGCTCTCGGAGTTCCAATTGGTTAAAGAGCCTTCTGGATCTTTGGAAATTGACCGCTTGAGAGTCAAAAGAGCGTATCCTTCGTCGTTCAGAGCATTCAATTCGCCATTGAAGTTCCAGATGAGAAGAAGCAAGAGTAGAAGCGATCCCATTGACATTTACGAAAAACCGAATTTCGACGAGGAGTGGCTTTTGGAAGGGAAAAATCAAGGAGAGAACAGTTTGCGGAAGATTGATTGAGAGAGAAGTGAGAGTGTGAAAAGGAGAGTGGAGAGACGTTGAAAATCAGATTCGGCTTGTTCACTTGGACCTTTGGACTTTAGTTTCTTCTATTAATATCCTTTTTTTTTTTTTTTCGACATCCCCAGTTTGTTTTTTATTACTAAGAAAATGTGCTTTATTTTATTTATTATCGGAAAAGTAAACTAAATTCAATTTGAATTGTTTAAGGAAAACAAAACTTGAGAATAATGATGACAAATGTACAAAAGAGAAGGTCTTGCGGAGAAATTCATGCACTTCCATCCTCATGAAGAAAATGCACTGATAATTAATTATGCCAATTTTTTTTTTTTTTTTATACGTTTGGTAATTCCAATTTTTCCAAAACAAACTTTGGAAATTCAATAGTTCAATTATATTATTCGCTTATGGCCCAAAACCATGTACAGTACAGTGTCATTTTTGTTAAAACCATGTACAGTACAGTGTCATTTGCTGGAATGGTCATCTTGTACTTTTTTGTTTTCGTATTCCCAAAATGAATTAAGTAATTAACTACAAGACCACAAAATATTAAAAAGGATTTAACAGGTAAAAATAGAATCTTCTTTTCCTCTTTCAACATTTTTAGTCCAATTGTACCCTCATCTTCGAATTATTTTGTTCTTTACTGGTGGATTTATATAGCAAATGTAATCTTTTTAACCAATAAATAAAGCCCATTTGTGACAAGAAAAACTCTTGCTATCATTTTATTAGGGAATATGATCCTTAACGGTTAGTCTTTTTTTTTTTTTTTTTTTGACATCAACGGTTAGTCGAATTGATAAGAGTTTCAGGAGAGATACTGGATAATAAGCTGCAGTAGAGAAAGTATGTAATTAATTAATCCCTAGCTACTTCAATTTTATTTCGTATTGAAAGTAGTAGAGTGATTAGTACGGCGCCATGATTATTCCCACATTCTCTGTATCAATAAAGGGAACACCTTTATGAACTAATGCTCCCTCTTTGTATTTTTCCAGCCGTTAACACACACATATGTATTAACAATCAGTCAATCTATTGAAAAGTGTGAATCACTATGTTTATAGTTGTCTAGCTACTCCGAACGTATATCTCAATCACAACTATTAATGTTTAAAGGTAAAATTGTAAAAGAAAAAACGTAATATAATCTCAAATATGTGGAGATATTTTTAAAGTTTAAACAATTGTTTGAAGAAAAAGTTATTCCACATTCTAAACACAATTCCGAAGAAACAAAATCATCTTTTTGTTAAAACAAAAAATCATCTTTATGGTGATGATAAAGCTAAACAAAAAAACATAACAAACATAATCTCAAATATATGGATATATATGTTTTTAACAATCGTATGAAGAACGATCTTTCACATCTTAAACATCATTACGAAGAAAATAACATTTTTATGGTGATGATATATGAAACTGAAACTCATTCTATTATTAACCATAAATTAAGCTTTTTAAACTATCAATCACATGAATGACACCAAAAAAGTCATAACAATTCCAATAGGATAGAAGGAAAGTGTTGCTAAAAGAGACATCATACATTGATCAGACAAGCCTGGACCTTCGTTATATGCTTTGCTTTCTTATCATAATAATCATTCTCTCCTTGCTTTTCTAGCATCAGGAGATTGGTCGATTTCTGATTAATCATATGTGAAAACTGAAAACTGATACCTAATCTTTGTAAATTAGTTTGCACAAAAGAATACTTAAAGAACGTATCATGTTTAAAATAATAAGTGATTACTATTTTTTTTATCAGTAAAAAGCACTTTATATTGTGTCCCAGTAAAAGAGATTTATGGAGCAGCAAAATATGAGTAAATTAGAGAAAGGCCACAATTGTAGGCTTCTACTTTGGGGCGTGCAAAATTAGGAGCCTGTGTGCCGGAAGTTAGCCGTTGCCATGGAGCGCCTAAGATTCTAAGAACATAATTTACTAAATCCATACGCAACAACGTTACAACATGGTATCACTTTCCACTTTTTTCTTTTTCTTTTTTGTTCATTTAATTTGACTGTGGCTCCGAGGTAAAGCCTTCTCAAACACTCTCACTAGGTGACGAAATCCACATCATGTTAGATCTTTCTAGGAAAATATATTTAAAAATGCATTAAACGCAGAGAATTCCTGAGTGGAGTTCTCAGTGAATGAGTCCAAGCGCGCCTCGTGACTCTTGAGGCTCTAATGTCGTATTCTCTCTGTTACATTTACTCAACTCCAAAATCTATAATTTATCAGAACCTTATGACTTAAGTAACAAAAGGGGAGACGTCAAATTTCTTGGTTATTTAGTAGCCTTAGATGTTCAACTACTATACGCAGTTTCTTTTAGATCATACAAATGTTAATGTATCTTCGAACTCTTTGATCATAGAAAATAACTAAAGAAATGTAGGGCAATCGGCTCTATTTGTCGTCTTTGGAATTCTTAGTTTGTGATTCTAGCTCTCTTTTTTAACACGATATTTTCTTTTTTTTTGGATAACATGCATTGTAAATGTTATTCAAGGTGACTTATAATCAGTATATAATGGCAAAAGGGCCAGCTCTCATGGGCATTGGTCAATGGACCTAGGTTTATCGGGTTTTTTCTTTGAGATTATATATAAGGTTCATAAGGGTTTGTAATACTTAATCACACGAGTAATAAGAAAACCCTAACAGAGTATATTGTCTCAATCTTTCTTCTCTATTGCTTTAATTCGCTCCAAATCACAACAGTAAAGAATTTGAATATAAATTTAATAATAATAATAATAATACAACAACAATACTTTTATCAATCACTGGACTATATATTCCACCAAAAAAAGAAATCACTGGACTATATATTTTGATCATTTTTTACGGAAGTTTATCAGGAAGCTTAGCTAGTTCGTAGAAATTTCTACAACGAATAAAGATGATTTCTGCACACACAACAAAAAAAAAACGAATAAAGATGATATTTACACTAGGATGAAGTCAACAAAGAAACTATCAATGAACAACAATATTTGAAAGAAAAAAACTGTGATATACAATCCAAAAACAAAACGAAATAGAGGAAAACTATAAAAATCCTTCTAAAAATAGAATTAGTAACTTAGCGACGAAGAGAAGCTTTTGTGCGGCAAACATTGTTGTTGCTCGTCAGGGGTACTTACATTACATCTCTATCCTCTCTCTATAAGAACCTTGAAGTTTCTGCATAAATCTCAACCAACTTATCTATAAAAGATCACATAAATCTATCAAAAAATGAACAACGACGAAGATATTATGAGGCTATGGTCGGAGAACAACAGAGAAGGAGATAGAGAGAACGCAAGGCGAAAGAGGCCAGCTGAGTCTAGGAGAGAAAGAAAGATGACTCGGGTTAAGCGACAGTGCGTGTCCAAGAAATCTCATCATAACTTGTCGGAGAAGGTAAGGAGTAATTTGTTGTATTGTTGTGATACGCGTTCTTCGAGGATCTTTTCATTTCCTCTTTTCTTCTTTGCACTACTTAAAAGAAACAGCGGGATATTATAAGAAGCAAACTAGAAACACTGAAGCAAATAACACCCAATTGCCTTAAGGTTCCCAGTTTCTACCTCATCAGTTAATTTGTCTAATTTGGAAATATTAGTTTTTTTTCTATTGTCTAAAAAATATTTATTATGAATTTGCAGTCGGATATCAGCTCCATCCTTGATAGTGTTATCGAGTATATGAACAGCTTGCAGTTTGCAGATTTTCTTACGGGTACTAAATCTCTATGGCCATCCTCTCATTCAATTTTAAATTTGTATTCAAATTACTTTTCTGGTTTTTTAACTTCTTCTCATTTGCAGTTTTACAAAACTCCGTATGAATAGTGTGACTGGAGACTTCATACGAAAGGTGGTGTCGTTTAGTATAGCTTGAGAGTTTCTTATTATGTACTTTTTCACTCTCTCAGATTTTCTTTCTTCGTTTGTTAAAATAAACCGTGTTGTGTAAAGGCCACACGACCATCTTCATACATGGTCTTGTTAAGGCCACAAGACCATCTTTAAATTGGTTTAATCAAATGTTAGGAGTTTTGTTAAGACCATATTTAAATTGATAATGGTGGTGATGAAACAAAAAAAATATACTAAAAATTGAAAAAACGAATAACAAAAAAATACAATAAAAAGCAGTAATCCAATATATATATATCCTTACTGGGATCTATCAAAGTTTTTAGTGGAAATTTCGTTCAAATTATTACTAGAGAAATCTTAAGAAATATACCTCTAAGATTTTGGGGTTTAAATTTTAAATTTAAGAGTTCAAGTTTATAGATTAGGATTTAGGGTTTAGAGTTATTTTAGTCAATGAAAATGTGTAGTTTTGAAAATAAATATTTTAAAAGTGTAGTTTTGAAAATTACCATTCCCTCCGCTCATCATCTAGTATGATTGTAACAACACTTATAACTACAGTCATATTTGCTTCCATCTTCACAGTCCCTGGAGGAAGTGATGAGAAAGGCTTGCCCACTTTTGGAAATCAACATCTGTTTACTGCCTTCATTCTCTCAGCAGGACTAGGGCTTTCAACATCTCTTGCATCCCTTCTTACTTTCCTCTCAGTCATCACTTCAAGGTATAAAGAAGAAGATTTCAGGGTGAGCTTACCAAGGAAGTTGATGATTGGCCTAGTGACATTATATCTATCTTTCGACACTCTCAATGTTGGTCACTTTTACCATGACTGGCCCTGATCAGAAAGCACAGTCATTGCTGGGAAATCATCATCATAGGCTGTTCGTCTTTAATGGTTGGTTTTCATATTAAAATGTGCTCATGTCTTTTGCAGTGATTTTTCATGCTGTGTAAAACATTATTTAATGTAAAAGAAATCTGGAAGAGATATATAGAGAGTGAGTATTGCTAATTAAATTAAACAGTTGAGCTAAATAAAAGAAAACTGGGAGAGCATCACTTAGAAAGACAGACATAGTGCATTTGTTTAGAACGTAAAAGTGAAGCAACGTCATGCAAAGCGATGCTCATATGTTGGTAGCAACTAGAAGTTGTTGGAGATGCCATGACTTGGGGACTACTAGCACAACGTCACACCACATAACCTTCCCACCAATCTCCTGCTTATTGGGCTTTTCAATCGCAATCTCAGTGCTTGTTGTGCACATTCTCGTCCCACAAAACCAGAAGCTTTCCACCAGAATTTGTCAATTTAACACAACCATGCGAACTACCGTTAACTTGGGCAGTTCTCGCAAACCTTTCAATTTTTTTTCCAAATTCCTTTATCAGAGTCGTACCATTCGAGCGTTTTAGACGTAGGGAACCAGTTGTAGACTACGGTATCTATCACGCAAGAAATACGAATCCACCACAAGAGATGCTCATATTCTCTTCCTACCACATCCCATTTATTTTCCTTAGGCTTGTAAACCACATGATAATTCTTGTCCCCACAAAGAGGTAAAGATTTCCTTCAAAGACTAGGCTCCATGATATCTGTGTCCCGCGTATCTCTGCGCTAGGGCTTGGCACATGCTCCCACATCTGGGTTTTGGGATCGAAACACTCGATAATATTTGACAAGTCACCACTTCTGCTTCCTTCTACTATATATAATTTCCTTCTACTAATTAAGAAATGATTAATCTAGAAGTGGTGAAACATTGAAGATAATAAGTGAAATCATATGAGAGTGCATGACAACCATAATCTGCCGTCTATATATAGGTTTCTATTGCATTCAAACACACTCGAAACTGAATCAAATCGCTTATTTTTCCCCCATTTTTGTAGTTACATATTATATTCAAACGCTGATCACACTCTATACTAAAAGAGTATATATATATAATATATATATGTGAAAACGTTAGGTGTTATATTTTGTTTTTGTAAATAAGCATTACGCGTTTAATTGCGATTACAGGCTTAAACCCATATGGCTCCAGCTCTTCTGAGCAACGAACCTAGTAATCCAATAACCTTTCACATGCAATCTTGTAGTTGTATATACAAACATCGAGTCCTCAAAGTATTGTAACTGATAACTTAAGAAGACTTCAATGTCCAAAAGTCTTTATAAATCTACATCCAGTAATATAATAATAAACCAACCTAATTAATTAATTTACAGAGTTATCAAGATCCAAAGTTTTCAAGCCACAATACAAACCACAGCAATCCAAAGGAGACTGCCTCAAGTGTTCCATACGCTATATTCCATAATCACAAAAGTTAATACCTAAACTCAAAAGGACTGGAATACCTTGACGTACAAGAAAACACCGTTCAGGTCCCGTTTTTCTGATTTCCCGGCACCGGATCTAACTAGGGATGTTAATGAAGGGTTTTTACCCGTAGGGTACCCTAAACCCTTGATTTTTTTTATGCCCATTACCCTCCTTTTCGGCCACAAAACGTGATGGATCATTTATGGGCGGGTCCCTTAGTGAAAGGATTCTAATAGCATTATCCTAATGGGCTTAGGGTATCCTAAGGGTTTCTTTTTAATTATCATCTATGTCTAAAACGACGACGTTTTTGTTTTTTTTTCTGTTTAGCTTTTCAATCATCGACATTTACAGAAGACGAACTCGAATTTTATGAAATCCCTAATTCCTCTTCGTTCCTTGATCTTTTTTTCTGGGTTTTGTTGAAGCTACGAGGAGCTTTGTTTCTTCAAATTTTGATTTGGTATTGAGTTTAAGGAAGAAGACATCCTAATTTCACCGGATCGACTTGAAGACCAAAAGGTCCAAAAGACCAAAACCATGGTGAGAAAGTTCTTCATTCGACCTCGTTTTAAAAGATATTTCAGATTCGTCCTTTATAGTAGTACTTGATTTTATTTGAATTTTTTGGCTGAACCCAAGAAACGAAAATGATTTGGTATTTGACTTTGTTGCATCATGACAAGACCTTGTAATTGTTTTCGAGAAACCCAAATGAATCATGCAAAATTTATTCATACGCTATATATAAATCAAATATTGATTCACTTTTTAATTTACAAATTTGAAAATGAATTAACATAAAATATTTAATGTTAATTAAGTACAAAAAAATAAAAAGACAAAAAAATGCAATTAGGGTATCCTTGGGTACCCTAAAACCTTTAGGATTTTTTCTGGACTATCCTAATGGTATTTTTAGGACTTTCTGAACTAGGGTCTTTTCTGTAAGGACTATTTGAAAGTCAGGGTAGGGTAGGGTAATTCTACCCTATATAACATCCCTAGATCTAACCGAGAAGAATTTTCTGTTGCCGGAGACAATGCATAAGCACTCACTTGATTAGTAACCATGTGTGCCTGCATCTGCCAGACTGGTACATAGTAGACTATCAACGGCGGCTGCTGCTGCTGCGGCATAGGCTCTTGAACAATTGACCGTGACTGATCTTGAATCTTTACTTTCTCTGTTTCTTTATCTGAAACTCCTCCAGCATCAGCGGCGGCGGTGTTTTCCGGCAAGAGCAAAGAGGCGGAAGCTGTAAGAGCCTCGTCTTGTTTCCGATTTTCCTCAGCTGTTTTCTGATTTTCCTCTGCTGTTGCATCGACCTTCTCGTAATCGTCACACTGCCGAGCCGGCGCCGGATAATTGTTTGGCGGGAAGATCGGGATGGGAAGAACGGAAGACGAGGAGGTAAACGCGATCTTCTGGATCGGAGATTCGAGACCGAGCAACCGGTTAACCGACACGGAGCATCGACTTGTATCGGATTCGGACGGAGGTGGCTTGGGGAAGAGGAAGAGACGGATACGCCGGAAACTAGCTGAATCATGCTCAGCGATCATGTTCTGCAAATCGTCGTTGTTATCTACGGTGATGAGAGAGTCGAGGTCGCAGCCAGGTAGCCTATACTTTAGGGAGAAGCAGCGTCCAGAGAGAAGCTTGCCGGAGAGAAGCTCCAAGAATGCGGGAAAGTAGATGCCACGTGGAACAACGACGATGCGAGTCTCGCCGCCGATATATTGCAGGGAGTTTCCTGGCTGGAGGGGGATTATCCGGCCACCGTAGCTACAGAGAAGACGGATCTTCGGGTTTGACGGTTCCATGACGGCGGCAACAGTAAACAGAAATAATGAAACAGAGAGATTCCACGTAGAGAGGAGTTTTTCGGCAATTGTTAAGAGGCTTTATTAGGGTTTACCGGGGATATAAAATATTTTTTTTACAGCATATATATATCCTCTCTCCACATTTGGTTTGTAGTTAAATATTAAGTTTATCTTAACTTTAATATTAAGTTTATATTAAGTTAACTATTACATGAGATCGTTGAAAATTGAAAGACACGTTTAAACAAAATACAAGTGAAACACCATACTTGGTCGGTACGTAGAGTACAAGATAGGAGATAAGTAAAGAAGACGATCAACATTGGTATGTGGTTGGTGGTGAATTCACCATTGCGATCCAGGCATTTTTTGAGAAGGGTTTCTTACCCAAAGGAGTCAATGCCACGATCCTTGCTCTAATACCTAAGAAGCTTGGAGCGGTCGAGATGAAAGACTACAGACCCATATCTCTCTGCAACGTGATATACAAGGTAATCTCTAAGATTATTGCCAATCGGTTAAAAGAGATTCTCCCTGATCTCATCTCTCTGAATCAATCTGCTTTCATAAAAGACCGCTTGCTTATAGCTAGAGAACCTTCTTCTTGCAACGGAGTTGGTTAAGGATTATCATAAGCCAATTATCTCCTCTCGCTGTGCTATAAAAATTGACATCTCCAAAGCGTTTGATTCGGTCCAGTGGGACTTCCTGCTGAACACCCTGAAAGCAATGAACCTCCCAGAGCGTTTTATTCATTGGATACGTCTCTGTGTCACAACAGCGTCCTTCTCGGTACAGGTTAATGGGGAATTGGCAGGTTTTTTTTAGAAGTAAAAGAGGTCTGCGACAGGGCTGCTCTCTCTCTCTCCCTACCTCTTTGTTATATGCATGAATGTCCTCTCCAAGCTCTTGGACAAGGCAGCAAGTGTTAAGGAAATCGGGTATCATCCTAAGTGCCAAACCATCGGCCTCACTCATCTTAGCTTCGCGGACGACATTATGGTGCTAACTGATGGTCAGATTCGATCAGTAGAAGGAATAATCACAGTGTTTGATGAGTTCTCGCGTATGTCTGGTTTAAAGATCAGTATGGAAAAGTCCACCATTTTTCTTGTTGGGGTCTCTGAAACTGTAAAACTGCAGATGTCCACACAATTTGGATTTGAATCAGGTTCGTTTCCAGTAAGATATCTTGGTCTCCCTCTCTTGACAAAGCGTATGTCCCCCACCGACTACTTGCCTCTGTTAGAGAAGATCCGGCAGAAAATAACATCTTGGAAGACAAGACCTCTTTCTTTTGCAGGAAGACTCGCTCTCATCAATTCAGTCCTTATGAGCTTGACCAACTTCTGGCTGTCGGCTTTTAAGTTGCCATCAGCGTGTTTAAAACAAATTGAGCAACTTTGCTCTGCTTTTCTGTGGTCTGGCCCTAGCTTGAATCCCCACAAAGCGAAACTATCGTGGACTGAGATTTGTAAGCCGAAAGCGGAAGGTGGTCTCGGTCTCCGACCGCTGAAAGAGATCAACATGGTTAGCTGTCTGAAAATGGTATGGAGAATTGCATCAGGCCATCCTTCTCTTTGGACTCAATGGATAAACACCTACCTGATTAAGGAAGCATCTTTCTGGTCGACAAATTAAAACACTAGCTTGGGTTCATGGGTATGGAAGAAGCTATTGAAATACAGACTGAGAGCAATGTTATTCTACAAGGTGGAGATTCGAAATGGACAACATACATCTTTCTGGTATGATAATTGGTCGTCTCTAGGACCGTTGTTTGATCTTACAGGGCCTCGTGGCTTCATAGATATGGGTCTCCCTGCCCACGCAACAGTCGCTGCAGCACTCTAGACGAAGAATTCACAGAGCCGAGCACCTGCAGATGATCGAAAACGTGATCACAGAGTACAGAGGACGTGTAATGCACGGTACAGCAGACATACCTCTTTGGAAACACTCAAACGACGTTTACAAGCCATCCTTCAGTTCGAAGAAGACATGGGTGCAGTTACGAGAAGCTGGACCTGTAATGGACTGGCACAAGGGAATTTGGTTTTTCTCACGCAACACCAAAGTTCTCCTTTTGTGCCTGGCTAGCAATCCATGACCGTCTCCCTACAGGTGACCGTATGCTCTCATGGAATCTTGGAATTAATGCATCATGCATTCTCTGCCACAATGTCTTGGAAACGAGAAACCATCTTTTCTTTACATGTACGTACTCTGCTGAGGTATGGCACGCTCTTACGAGGGGACTTCTCACAAGGAACTACTCTTCGGATTGGCAAACTATACTCTCCATCATCTCCGGAAACGGCCAGTCTCGTCTCACGCTTTTCCTCATTAGGTATGTATTTCAAGCTGTGATACATAGACTATGGCAGGAAAGAAACTCCCGTCGTCATGGGGAGCAGCCGCTCTCCCCAAATCAGCTCATTCAAATCATCGACAAACTTGTCCGAAATCGTATCTCTTCCATACGGGCGTTAGGAGATACAACTTACGATGATGTACTCCAACTTTGGTTTGAAGCTAGAAGCTAGAGTTCTTTTTTCTGTCTTATTCTGAATCTCAAAATTACGTTGCACATGTTGTACAAAAACGATGTTTTTTTTGGGTTTGAATTAATTTTACATTCTATTCAGAAAAAAAAAAGAAGACGATCAACGATCAAACTTGGTCGGAAATGGGTAAGACGTGGACCCCAATTTGATGGAGCATGTTATTGGCTTTTCCATGGAACCCTACAATTTTGTGACCTTCCTTGTGGAGTACGAAACTTGAGTTTGTTGTATCAAGTCCAAAGGCTCGAGAGGTTCGTTTGTTAGTCTTGAACTTAAGCATGCGTACAACTTCGGATTCGCTTCCGTCTACTTTATCGTAACTAACCTCCACTGATGTCAAGTATTCTCTCGGATACTCAAGCTCGAACTGCAACACCAACAAGTTTATAAAAAATGTCTGAAATTAAGCTTAAATACATTAGCAATGAATGAATTGATTCTTGTGTATAATATCTTACGTATGTCCTTTTACTTGGAATATAATATTGCTAACAAGTACTGATTACCTCTTCGACTCCAAGTAGCGTCTTGCTCCTATGATCATCTCCGACGAATACCTGAGCATTCTTGTCATATAGAAACTTAAGGAATGTGACGCCAATCTCATTGTGTCCTATGTATATCTTCTTAACACCATCAAAATTACCACCATCATCCCAAAAATCTCCTCCATCTCCACCTTGTGCTACTAGTTTCTCAGACTCAGAAGAAGGAGGAGGAGGCAGCGGATGAAAATACGCTCCAAGAGCGATAAGAACAGTATCAGGAAACGTTCCAGAATCAGTAGACCGTCCATGGAACCCAACAAGAGCACAACCTTTATTCTCCAACACGAAATCACTAGGAGACTTGTCATCATCAGACACATTACCAAATTTCGGAGAGGTTCTCCCTTTAGATGTTTTGAACGTCAATGATGTAACCCAAGTATCAGTGTCGTACATGAAAGTCCCTTCCACGGATGTGATGAATTCGTTTGGATAATCAACCACAAACTGCAATAAATAAAGAAAGAAGAAAATATATCGATCAATTTAAGAACAAACACATCCACGTACGTATAGGTGAATATGCATGCAGACATAGAGAGTTGTAGAAATCAGAAACCTCTCCTTCTTGTTTACTTATAAACCCATGCTGACGCTTTTCAACTTTTCCGTCGTTATCGTACTCGAACTTGATACAATCTACACTTCTTGCACTATAGAGAACGTTTACTTTCCTAACGCCGTGGAAAGCACCATCATCCCAAGGTCTTCCAATAGTACCACCTTGGCGTTCCAATTTAGTAGGAGGAAGGGTTTCTAAATATGCTCCAAGAGAGTTTAGATACTTCTCGGCATATCCATGAAACCCAGTGATCTTCTTTCCATAGTCTTCAGTGAAAACTTCCTACCCTTTTCATATCCTATCAGTTCGGAAATCTTGATGTTAGTCTTGAACTGAAGTCCTTGAATGACCCCTGATGCCTCGTCGTAGTAACCCTCAACAGATATTATATATTCGCCCTCGTGGTGGTTAATCTCAAACTACAAATAAATGGAAAAACCTTCAATAGTGTACTTGGTCAAATTGAATAAAAAAAGAATGTTAATTTTAAAGTCAAAGTATACGTACTTGTTGTATGAAACCTCTACCCAAGAGACCATTGACTTGCCCACCTTTGGGTTGTCCATTCTTGACATAGTCAAACTTGACAAACTGTATGCCTTCAGGACCACCTTGAACATGTATCTTTGTTAGACCTTCATGGTCAACTCCATCATCCCATTGGTTGCCTCCCTTTCCTCCTTTCGCTTCCAATTTAGTAGGAGTAATCCAAGTGAAATATGCTCCAAGAGAATTAAGGTTTCTGCCATTAGCAAATCCATGAAAGCCAATTATCTTCTTTCTGTCGACTGCTAGTGTAAACTTAGTACCGTTGTTGTGATATCCCATGCTTTCAGAAGTCCTAAAGTTTGTTTTGAATTGAAGGGATTGAATTGTATCCGTCTCCGTTTTGTAGTAACCCTCAACAGATTCAAGATATTCATTGTTTCTATGGTTGATCTCAAACTGCAAAATTTGGTGAGATTAATATCACAAAACTAACATAATTATCTACATGAAATCGAACAAAAGGGAAACTTAATATGTAATTTCAAAAGTCATACCGTCTCTGTGAAACTTTCCCCTGTGAAACCATGGAATGATCCATATTTTGGCTGTCCATTCTTGACATAGTCAGAATAAATATATTGTATGCCGACAAAATGACCTCTGTCAAGACCAAAAAGCACATTTATTTTTGTAAGACCATCATGGTAGGTACCATCATCCCACTTCTTGCCTCCATTGCCACCTTTCGCATCCACCCTTTGGGTCATCTTGATCCTATTTGAATCATGATACATGGAAGGGTATTGTGTGTTTTGTAGTCAACAATTTGTACCAATACTTACATGTTTCATTTGGTTGGGGATTTAAGAAGGTTAATGATTAAATTCTTTGAAGTCAATGATCAAACATGTTCACAATATAAGGAAGAAGACTATATATACAGGAACAGATCAGAAGAAGAAGATCAAGTTTCTTGGGTGAAAAGGAAGCAATCACTTAGTACTTTATTTAAAGATTTGCTGGTGAATATATAAAGCAAATCTATATATGAAGAAAAAAATATAGAGGGAGAAGAAAAGAGCTTACCTCTAATGGTAGAGAAAGAGAGTGACAGATGATGAACAGATGATGCGATAGTTTACCACAAGGTGAGGGAAGGAGGTGACTTTTATATACAAGTTTTGGTTCTTTTAAAAAGTCTTTGATAGATGATTTATGTAAAACCATTTTCCAATCAAATTTTCCCACATATTATTTTATATATTATATTCATTAATTTCGAATTTTATTTAACACTTGATATATCATGTTTTTATGGGTTTTTGCCATGATATAAGTCTTGTATATAGAGTCTTTTTGGTATTTTTGGAGTCTTTTAGAGTCTTTACAGGTCTAAGCATGTTTTGGAGCATTGGAGTTATTGGAGTTTGGAGCTATTTGGAGCATAAGGATTCATGCTGGAAAACAAGACAAACAGACGATTCACAGAGTCTTGCGTCGACACCAATATCTGTGTCGGTCGACACCAGAAAAGACGAAAATAGACTTTTGAAGATTACAGTTTTGGCCCAGAAGTTCTCATTATTTACAAGAAGCCCAATTCGTGTTTTAGACATTTTTTAGGTTTTTAAAGCCATTGTTAGGCTAATACTTTTCATACTTTTATTCTATTGAGACTTAGAGAGAGATTTGTAGCAGAGCTTTGGAGAGATAGATCAAACTCCTTCAGAGAAGATTTTGAACTCCTTTATCTCTATTCTTATTTCTTTTATGCAATCTATTTATTCATGATGTTTGTCTCAATCACCATGTCTGAGTAGATTCCTTGTTAGGTTTAGGGTTTTTCAAAGGTTGAAGAAGAATTGCAATTGCTTAGGATAATCATTAGAGTTCTTCATCTGGATTGTGTTTATTGCTTATTCTAGCTTCGCGACCTAGAATCTGATCTTAGGTTAATTGGTAGACACGAAAGTGTTATTGATTTCCTGAACTATCTTAGATGAGCAAAATATCTATCTGCAAAGGAATTTGGTTTAGAGATTTTGTGAACTTATCAAACCTGATCATTAATGCTTGTTTGAATTGTTGAATTTGCAAAGAAATTTGGGATTCTAAGTTTAGACATAGATAATCTCTGCAACGAAAGTTGATTGGTTTTACAATTGTGATTTGAGTTCTAGAATGGTTCTTCATTAATATCCTGATAGTTTACTCTGCAATTCGGATTCAACCTGCGAATTTCCCAAGGCCTAACCTTTGTCTCATTGAATTTAACCTCGTTAATCAATCACCTGCTACTTTGTTTTCTTTTATTTGTTTTACATTACTCATATCTTACTTAGCCTGATTTGAATCTGGAAATTCGTTGTGCAACTGATAGACGTTTGGATTCGATAAACCCTTTATACTACATTGATTTACTGTGCACTTGCAGTGATAATATAGGGTAAAACTTAGCCTATCAACACTTAAATATTACATAAAAACTATTTTTAAAATGAGCTTAATTTAACATACCGCAATTGACTTTTTTTTGGGGTCAAAGTCTTAGAGGTAGGTACCACCAAGAAAGTAATTCAACACCAAGAGTTTGATGTTTATCCTAGAAAAAAAGAGCTAAAGATACTTACGGTACAAGTAATCATTGAGGCATGTCTTGATTTAATGTAAAAATTAGAACTTAATGTAGTTTCGTTCCCATCTTCCTTTCTTCTCTTCTCCTAGATTTTGTAACTAGTTTTCTTTTGTTTTTTTCATCCTCTAAAAGACCGCTTTTTGAAATCTGCTTTTGGTTTCTCTGTTTCATTTATGGATTTTGTTCAATGATGGTTAAGTCTAAAGCTGTGTAGTCCCGTTCCTGCCTCACAAACCCTTTTTTGCCTCTGAAATATAATCACATAACTGTTAATGTGAAAAGTTGAAGCTTAATTTTTATTTTTTGTAAAACCTAAAAAACAATTAAAATCTATAATACATTAGAGCATCTCCAATGTATTACACTATTTTTCCCCTTATAATAGTGAGATTCCAAAATGGTGTTAGTTTTCTCTCCAACCCACCTCTACTTTCACCTTTAAAATGATGTTCACTATTTTTTCCCTTATATTTTTACTTTTTCCCTCAAATATAAGGGAAAAAATAGAGATCATCATTTTAAGGTTGAAAGTAGAGGTGGATTGATGGGTTGGAGATGGTCTTATAGGAGCTGTCTGGGGCCTCTCAAGGCATCTCACAGTTTCTCCCATAGAATGCCACATGGCATTTTACAATAACAATAACAGGTTAAAAAAAAAAAAAAAACATCGCTTCCCTGCAATTCACGCGTTAATCTCTTCGTCTTCTTCACTGCAAATTCACTTACTTTCTTTGTTTCATTCAATTACAAAATTCAACGTAATTTACTTTTTAACCTTTCAACTTCCCTTATACTCTGGATTTAAAGATGGATAGAGGCGAAGAAGATCGTCTCCAAAGCTGATCTTACGCAATATTCACCTTTTTTTTTGTTAAATCCTCTTAGAGTGACATTTCCTCTATTAAACTCTTCCGATTTGGTTCTTCGTGTCTGATTTCTGATTTCGGGTTGGAGGTCTTCATGAGAGCAGCCACGTGCCATAGCCAATATGTCCTTCTTTCTGCGAATTTGAGAACGATATGATTCCTTCTCTGCTATAGCGACGGCGATTCATCTTCTTTTTACCAGTTGGATGACGTTTTATCACTGCTTAAAGGTATCTTTAACTACCTTCTCAATTTAGTCCACTTTAAAGCATAGCTTCCTAATTCCTATCTCTTGCAATCTCTAATTCTAATCGGCTGAACCCTACAACAGCTAAAATAATTCTGTTCCGCCGTTCATCATATTCTTATCGGTAAGATTCTTAAACAGTAGATTTAGTTTCCAAATCCTAATTTAGTCTTTTTTTTTTTTTTTTTTTTTGTTCAAATACTTGATTCCATTAATTAAACTTCCAAACTACATGAAGAGGGAATGAATGCGTCCATAAACACTTCACGGCAAAGCCGGAGTTTGACAGCAGAAAAGAGACAAAGCTCAAATGCGTCCACTTCACGGCAAAGCCGGATTGTTTTAAGATAGTCACTTTGATTTGTGACTTTGAAAACCAATCTTCACCTCCAAGCATCACCAAGATGAGCTTAGTTGTCTCTTCTGGCCTTGTATGGACCTCTACACAAGAGAACATGGTTACTAAATTGACAGGATTTACCGGTATTACAACTGAATTGTATTGTTTCGATAGATATTTTGTTGTGCTTAACATTTGAAATATTTTGTTGGTTAACTTTTCAAAGGTAGATTAACATGGGAGAAGGGAGATGGGGATCGAGGGAGAAGAGGAAAGCTGACCTCTTTTAAAAACAGCGACCAAATTGCAGGTAATGAAGGCTTATCATATCTCTCTTAGTTATATTTTTTTTGTAGTTTGTTGAGTTCTACGATTTCCTGTTGAATTACTCCTTCTCAAGAGCAAATGAATTTGTCTACTGTTTTGTTTACTTGATCAGAGATATGTATGTTTGACAAATTATGATCTAAAGAGTTCAACACAAGTTTCTGTCTTTTCACTATTGTCTTCTTCTTCAAGCGCTGGATAAAAATGGTTTTTGAAAAGAATAATATTGATCAAGTTTTGTTTCGTCAAATTTGTATAGCTAATGTAAAAAACCTCAAAGTTAATAGCTAATGTAAAAAGCTCAAAGTTAATTTCCTATTTAAAAGGATAAGGACAATGGAGGTCAACCATATCAGTTTGCAAGAAGATGGGTTAAGTACAACGTAGAGCCAAGAGCTACAGAGTCTTACTTCTCTGAGAAGATTGATTACTTGAAGGATAAAGTCCAAACTACATTCGTCAAAGATCGTAGAGCAATGAAGGTCAGTCACTAAAGATCTTTACTTTCAAATCACACAAGGGATCTTTAACTTTCTTTTCTCAATTGTTTTGCAGAGAGCATATGAAGAATACAAAGTGAGGTTCAATTCTTTAGTAATAAAGCTTAGAAGAAACATGTATCTAGGAAAATAAGAAGCTCTCGACATTGACGACGAGACCGTAACGAATTGCCAGCGCTTGTGTATGTGTTGAGAGAGAAGCGTCCTGGTTACATACACCACAGGAAAGCTCAAGCCATGAATGCAATGGTAAGCAAACAAACATACAAGTATGTCCATCAGAAGAAGTAATTGTTTCTCCATGTGCCTTCGTGCTCCAAAGGATATATTGTTGCAATCTACAAACTACAGCCTAGGTTGGCTGGCGAGTCGATTATTTACCACCAACCATAGAACTTAGACTATCAAGTTTTTACTATATACCACTCCCAATTCTTCCCATATTTTCCTTCGATTCTCAGTTTATGATTATTTTGGGTCTATTAAAGCAAAAGAATTTTGATACGTGCTTCATATTGAGATGCAAAGAAAAGGAGGATGTTTACAAGATATTGGTAAATAGTGGGATGATTGACAACTCTCATAGAAGCAATCTGGGAGAAGTAAGTTTCCAACTTTCATCTGAATGTTCATACAACCAGATAAACAGATTCGTTAAATTTTTGGATTGATTAAAACCCTGATTGTGTCTTACTATATAATACTACAGTAGAAATTCTATAAATTAATACTCGATAAATTAATAAACACGATAAATTAATAAATTTCTCCGGTCCCAAGTTGGGCCGGTGTAAAATATGACACAATTCGATAAGATAATAAGATAATAACTTTTTTTAAACTCCTATGTAAAATATGGTCCCAATAATATCATAAATTAATAATTATCATATAAAAAATATATATAATTATATTTACCTAAGATATCTAGCTACTAAAATATGAATCTCTCATACATCAAATAAATATGAAAACTAAAAGAAAAAAAGGAATTTAAAACAATATACAAGTATGAAAAATGTAAAAATAAAGTAAATATAGAAACATCAAAAAAAAGTTAAGAAAATATACGTATAATGGAAATTTTATTTAATTTGAAGGAAAATTTAAAAGATTATTATTATTGAATTTTATTTTTTTGAAAAATAAATTTTAGTCAAAATCTATATATTAATAACTCTATAAATTAATAAAATATCAAAGTCCCGACATTATTAATTTATAGAGTTTCTACTGTATATATGCTGTGCAGATTGAGATTTTGAGAGTGTAAAATTTAAGACGTGAAACTAACACTCTTTTTGTTCTTCTATATGGTCAGCAACATTTGATGGATAACAGAAATTTGCTTTAACAACTGCATGGAGGAGCTTCGAAAAACTTAAGGTTTGAAAATCCTTGCTTTTTTTCCTCTTTGCTTATCGTATAAATTTTAGATCTGTTATCTGAGATATGTTAAAAAATATTTAGGAAATTGAATCCGCATGTTTTTTTAAAGCGTTTTGGCTATTTGCAGATTCTGATAATTAAGACTATGGTTTATGGTTTTTTCACTACAATTTCAGACCATTACATAAGTTCTTTGTATTACCCAAATTCATCTTTTAGTGAAAAAGTAACTCTGTTCTAGGATTCCCAGTGGAGACCTCCTGTTTGTTCTGCCTTCAATGATAGCAACATTAGCGTTCTCACTTGCGGTGGCCCTCACACTCTTTCCTCCCCGGTTATTCCTTCACCTCTGACTTGCTTAATGACTGTGATTCTCCAAGATTTTTATCTTACAGGTTGCATTTCAATTTGGTATATGACTAACAAAAAAAAAAACAAAATGTAAACTTTATTATGTTAGGAGAAATGTGGAGAATTGGTCTCTCAGTTACTTGATGGAGCATGAGGCATCTCTTGCAATGTTCTCTTTAGTTGTCTCTGAAAGTATCAGAATTAGAGTGACTACCGACGCAAGTATTCAAAGAAGCTAAGAGTGTTTAATTAGTAAAGATTAGCTAATGACAAAGAGCACTCCCGACTTTTTAAGTTATTGCTTTCATTCTATATCATAGATAATCTTATATTCTTATGCCTGCGATTAGATCAAGATTGAATTACTGTTTCAGTTTTGACGAAAAATCCCTTGCAAACTGAAATCCAAGTTTTACAATTTAAATGTTTTTTTTTTATTTAATAATAAAACATTGTTTTGAATGTCTTTACTACACTAAGTGCTTTGTATCTGAGACTTTGTATCAAGTTTACAAGGATAAATTAAATTTGAAGAGGATGGTGTTAATGTCTTATTGGTGAATTATGTCTTCTATGGCAAAACATTAAAAGACCAATTATAAATATAAGGATTTTTTTTAAATAGAAAAATAATGTGGTTGAATTAATTATGTGTATGTTTGATAAATTACTTCAATTTCTCTTTAAATTGTAAAAATTGATGTACACTTAAAGGAACAACAAAATATAGTTGTTGGGTTGAATCATTTATCGAATTATAATTTTTTAAAAATATTTGGAAAATGGTTTCATTTTTTTAAATAATACATTTGTATTATGAGTTTCATTAAAAAGAAAAACATTTCTAGCATTTTAATATTATAGGAAACTATTTGGTTAAACTACCCGCGCGTACGCGCGGGATATTCTCTAGTGATATTGAAAAAGTGCCACCAAACAACAACATATGATCGAATTAATAGTAGACCACAATGAAAAAAAAAACATATCCACCGACGGAGATGGCAAGAGGGTTTTAGACCCAACCAACAATATTTCTGAACAAATTGGCTTGTGTTTGATGTTTTTATGAAATAATTCCGAGTCAACGCATTTATGTTTGTCGTAAACATGGGAACTAAAGATACATGGCAATATGGCATACAAGTTAGGATTGAGGTTATCTTGATTTAATGTAAAAGACGATCGATCAAGCTTCTGCACTTGTCCATGTGTTTGGTTTCGTTGCCATTTTACTTTCTTCTCTTCTTCTAGCTTCCGTAACTACTTTTCTTTCTTTTTTGGTTTTACCTAAAATAACCGCTTTCTAAACTCTGATTTTGGAGTTCTACAAAGATTAATTTTGTTCCCATCTTGCTTTCTTCTTCTATCTTTCGTAATTAGTTTTTTTTGGTAGTTTTCTTTGTTGTGTTGCCTGACCCAAAAAAACTCTGATTACTGGATTGTTGTAAATGGTACATTGTTGCCGTGTGGAAGTATACAGAAAATGTCCTTATCAAATAACAATCTCTTTTTTTTTTTGGGTTAAAATCAAATAAGAATCTCACAAATCACTAAGTCTATACACATGTTATAACAATTCTAAAACTGCCCTATCAGAACAAAATCTGCAAAAAAAAAAGCTACATGTTTTTTGAGACGATCCAAAGATATGTATTCAAGTCTCATATTTATCCTTTTTTTGACGTAGTCTCATATTTATCCACTAGTAGAGTATCCGCACGTTTGTGCGGTGTGACGTTGTGGATTTGTGTAGAAAATTTAAACTCTAAATCCGAATCCGACCAAAAACCCTAATAAAAAATTTGAAAAACCTAAACTTTTTTAATATGTTTAAACCCGAAAATCCGAAATCAAAAAAATCCTGTACTGAACCAAAAAAATCTGGAAACTTTTTCACCCGGAACACGACCCAAATACCCTAATCAAAATTTTAAAATACTCATTTTTTTAATATAGCTATACCCGAAAACCCAAAATCCAAAAAATCCGGAAAAGCCTAAACTGAAAAGGAAAAAAACTCAAACTCAGCTCGAACATAAATTTTCAAAGAAATCCGAACAATTTTTATATCTCTATATCTCTACAAAATTAGGTCTCAGGTTTTCACCCAAACCCGAACTTGTCTATAAAAACCCGAAAATCCAAAAAGCATATTCTATTGATTTGATATTATCGTTAGATTATGTTAAATTTTCTCTTTTTTTTTGCGGATTTTTAAGAGAAATTAGAAATATTGAAAAAGTATGTAATTTGCAATATGTAATCAATATCGAATCGATATGTAATCTGCAATATGTAATCAACATGTAATTGATTATACCAAACTTAAACTTTCTTTTTTGCAGATTATGTTAATTTTCTAAACCAACGGTGTGTTTTAAGTTATTATTCTTGTATCCAAACAATTTATTTTTCTATCCAAATAGTTTTTTATTTTATTCTTGTATCCAAACATGACAATGTACTAAATTGACCCTAACTAAATCTCTTGCCAAACACTTTCTCTTCATAATTAGATTGGTTTTTTGGTCATAAATTTTTCATGTACTTCTCAACATGTAATCGATTATACCAAACTTAAACTTTCTTTTTTGCAGATTACGTTAATTTTCTAAACCATCGTTTTGTTTTAAGTTATTATTCTTGTATCCAAACAATTTTTTCCATTTATTTTTCTATCCAAATAGTTTTTTCTTTTATTCTTGTATCCAAACATGACAATGTACTAAATTGACCCTAACTAAATCTCTTGCCAAACACTTTCTCTTCATAATTAGATTGGTTTTTTGGTCATAAATTTTTCATGTACTTCTCAACATGTAATCGATTATACCAAACTTAAACTTTCTTTTTTGCAGATTATGTTAATTTTCTAAACCAACGGTTTGTTTTAAGTTATTATTCTTGTATCCAAACAATTTTTCCCATTTATTTTTCTATCCAAATAGTTTTTTCTTTTATTCTTGTATCCAAACATTACAATGTACTAAATTGACCCTAACTAAATCTGTTGCCAAACACTTTCTCTTCATAATTAGATTGGTTTTTTGGTCATAAATTTTACATGTACTTCTCAATATGTAATCGATTATACCAAACTTAAACTTTCTTTTTTGCAGATTATGTTAATTTTCTAAACCAACGGTTTGTTTTAAGTTATTATTCTTGTATCCAAACAATTTTTTCCATTTATTTTTCTATCCAAATAGTTTTTTCTTTTATTCTTGTATCCAAACATTACAATGTACTAAATTGACCCTAACTAAATCTGTTGCCAAACACTTTCTCTTCATAATTAGATTGCTTTTTTGGTCATAAATTTTTCATGTACTTCTCAATTAATAATATAAAGATTATATATATCATTTTTTTTGTTTACACACTTTCTAA